GTGATCGATTCGACGATCGACGCGTGTGTGGTGTGCGCTATGATCGAGGATCCAGCGGCGCTAATAACGAACCACTCGGCAGCAGGGACCGATACCGCGACCGCGACGGTGGGTATGGTGGAGGCAGCCGAGACGGGCGCGACAGTCGCGATGATGGCTCCCGAAAGCGACCATACGAGGGTGACAGCTACGACGACTCACGAACCCGACGACGATACTAGGCTGGCCCAAGGCCTGAGGTATTTTCTTGCAAGGGTTTGTCAAAAAGGTTACCTCCCCTTTCTTCGCCTTGACCCTTTTTTCCGTCTGTGAGGGTAAGATCGACTTCTTGTCTAGCTCTTCACACGTACGACACAGCAACACACAAACATACAAAACACAAAACACGGTATAGGAGGGTAAGAAGCGTACATTCAACCCACTCCTAGGCTTGCTTCATTCGGGATCCGTCTAATGACTCGCGTTGCGCGCTCTACAACACTATTGTCATGTCCAATTCGCCAAACAGAAGAGAAAAGTAAAAAGGTACAGCCAACATCACCTTTACGCAACAGCAGTTTTATACCCTTTCCATCAACAAAGTTTTATGAGATACGCCACAAACACGGACTGGTAGGATGGAGCTGGACTTGACTGGACTTTTCTGTTTTATCGCGAACGGGTGTGGCATGGCAACAGGTGAACCCTTTTCTTCTGCATGTCTTATCACATTTTTTTTCGTTGCTCTTTATTCGCTTTCCTGTTTTTCGGTCTCTGTAGAGAGGCTGCATAGGTAGGTAGTTTTTATTCCCGTGGTTTGTAAGTTTATTAGGAAGTGTTATCGTTACCGGTGCCGTACCGTGTGTCATTATGCTGGTGCGTGTGAAAGGTAAGGCTAACGGGTAAGGAGTTTATGATGCTCCGAACTTTGTGGGCTTTTATCTAGCGTATATGGGTAGGGTAGGGCAGAGTGTGTTAGGTAGATTTATCAAAAGCTTTTCTTATATGTGCTGGTAATGTACGTGTGTGTATATGTTTACTCGGGTGGAGCGGTTTGTCTACGAAGATGGTGTGGATAGTGTGGTAATACTACCAACTATACCATGAAGCGGACTGTCTTCTAGACATGAATGTGAAGATAAGTAATTCGAATTTAAACGAAAAACATAAATAATAGGAATTGTGGGTATCGTAATCTACATGCACGCGTCTCTCTCTCTCTCTCTCTCTAAAGGTCTATTCTACTCTCTACGTCACTCTAACCAACCAGCATACATAATCGTATATGGCAGTTAGTTAGTGTTGAAAATGCGTCCGACCGGTACTTTAGATCATGCCAACCCATTAAGATGCTCTCATCATCTCAAACACATTAGATCATGCCAATCCGGCCAAACCCATGACCGTTCATTAGTAATGTTCGCAAAAAAACAACATCATTCAAACAAGACAAACCAAATCCTGCCACCCAAGCGTCCATCTCACACTCCCCATAACCACCAGCAACAAGCCCAATCCAGCGACCACACTGCCGCCCCCATAAACATAGGCTTTGCCCCTGGCCAGGGCATCTAGTTCAACAATCCACGTCGACACGGTAGTAAGACAGCCACAAAAGCCATCCATGATACCCTGTAGAATCTGGCAACCTACCAGACCCCCACCCACAAGTCCCGTGCTACTAAGCTGCACGTGCTGGAGGTCAAACGCCATGCCGAGGACAGCAGTACCGAAGACATTCACGGTAAAGGTTCCGAGGGGGAAAGCTGGCGACATGGGGTTCATGTGCAGGCTGATGTAGTAGCGTAGTATAGCGCCTGGAGGAGCGAAAACACAGGCGAAGAGGGCCTGGCTGCGCCACGTGTCGTGTGGAGGTACTGTGGCCATGACGACGGCTCCGAGCCAGATGCCAGCGCCCAGAAAAACGAAGATAGGGTCGAGGATGCGGCGGGTGAGGCGGAAGCGGAGGGTAGGTGTCCATGGGTCTAGGGCGAGTGCGAGGTGCGATCCTACTTTAAGTGCGGCGAAGCATGTAGCGATTGTTAAGATGATGGTAGCGCAGATGGCGAGGAAGGAGTATCCACCGTTTCGGGGAAGTGTGGTGGCGATGGAGGGCGGGGGCAGGTTGGCTGGGTAAGCGTGGTTGAGGGGGGTATCGAGGTCGTTTGATAGGGCGAGGAAGATGTCGCGCATGAAGCTTGAGAAGGAGGTGAAGGAGCCGCAAAACCCGGTTGCGAGACCAATGTATAGCGGAATCGTCTTTTTGGTCTTGCCATGTCGCGCTTTGGCCTGACGTGTGGCTGGTTCGTCGGTTGGCTGCTCGGGGGTGGCCTCGTTGTTACCCCATTCCGCGGCGAAGAGTCGGCGGTCTTCGGAGAGGAAACCCATTACAAATGTGCCGGCGACGTTTGCCCAGAGCTCTGAGAAGACGACTGGCGCGCCTGGGTAAAAAGTTAGGGCTTGTAGGCCCAGTCGAGCTAGTGTTCCCCAGATAGAGAAGAAGATTAGGTATGATATGGTATAGAGTTCTGTCGCCAGTCGAGAAGCTTTCTGCGCCTCTGGTGTGCGATGGGAGCGCACATAATGTTCTTTGTAGTCGTCTTCCTTGACGGGCTTCATGCTGGGTAGCGCGGTAATGTCGAGTTGCGATACCGACGATGACAGAAATATGCGGTCTGAAAGGCGCGAGCGCCGTACCTGCGAAGCGTCTCTAAGTGTTGGGTCTGACAGCCCTCTCTGTCCTCTGGGTCGCGGTGAGCGCAGCGGTGTGGGGAGGTTTGGCGGTAAAGCAGTTTCGTTGTATAAATTAAGCCACGTCTCCGACGCCAGTGGTTCTTCTCCTTCTCTTAGTCCAGCAATGCGAGAATCTGTTGTGCTCCGCGATATCCGGCGGCCTATGCTGCTCTTGTCGCGCCGCTTGGCCGTGTCTGGTCGATCGCGTTGTTGTCGTGTGTAGGGGACATTGGGGGCGGGTGACGAAGCTGAATTAATGCTCTCTGCACGGTCGTATTCCGTCTTGTCGTCCAGGTCAAAATGGCTGCTAAGGGTGCGCAGCTCGCTATGTGTTCGTGAGCGCGTCGTCTGCGGCTCAGCCGGGGCATCCTCGAGGCAGCGCGAAGAGCGGTGCGAGGAGCGCTGGCTGTTGAAGTGGGACTCGCGCTGCTGTGTACGGCCATCGTCGCCCAAAGCCATATCAACCATGTCTGCCGTGTGTGGTGGCTGCATATGGCAAAATATGCAATGACGTGCACAACAGATTATGTCGACAAGTCAAATAACGTCCCGTCGCTCGATTCTCTCTTCAGCGCGATCCATGGGTACCCAAGGCAAACATGTCGGACTTGTACTTTTTTCTATATTAAAAAAAATCGTAATAGGTAATTGTAGCAAAAGAGCAAGATGCAGCCGCGTTGGGGTATATGTAGCCCACGCCTCAGTGGGTTGCTCTGAAGCAAATAACAAAGTATATCGAACCCCAGTTAAGGGCCCAAGAGCGAACACGCGACGACTATGACTCTGTTGCAGCCGTTTTGTCCGATTGGCGCAGGGAGGGCCCGGTCAGCCGCCATGCACGCCAGCAGGGGTCGACGACAGTAGGCCAACGGAGCTGCCCGACAGCATTGGCAACATGTGCTGTCATGGCACTGCTTGTTATCCGTCTCATTCACCTGTCTCAAGCACTGTAGTATTGCAATATCACAATAGCATATGACTGTTTGTATCCAAACAAGTTGAATTGCTTCATTATCATTTGATTACCCTCATCTCAACCTCATCAACCCTCATCTCCTTCACAATGGCCATCCCAAAGAACGCCCACGTCTCGACACACCCTTGTCTCCAGGCGAAGCTGTCACAGCTCCGATCCGCGAGCACAGGGTCCAAGGATGCGCAGATGCTGGTGCACGAACTCGCCCTCATGGTCGGCTACGAGGCCTTGGGTGCAGCACTCAAGACACAGCAGAACGGCACGGTAAGTAACTTTGGTCACTATCACATACATTGCACATGATTTATCACACTCCCTGCGTTACTATAACAATGCAAAACAAAACATGCGTGTGATTACCAGCAATGCTATGACCGACTCGTAGTAACCAGACCTCGCACGCACAGGACAAGTCCCCCCTCGGCTACGAGTACGACACGGCCACGACCTCCCCCTCCCCCTCGTCCATCTCGCTCGTCCCCATCCTCCGCTCCGGCCTCTCCATGGTCCCGGCCCTCTCCTCGCTACTGCCCACGCCCGTCCCCATCCACCATCTAGGCCTATACCGCGAAAAGTCGACCCTACAACCCGTAGAGTACTACAACAACCTGCCCTACCATACGCCACACACATCCGGCGCTAGCAAGCCGCAACCCGAGCTGGCCATCATCGTCGACCCCATCATCGCCACGGGTGCGACGGCCTGCGCAGCCATTGACACGCTCAAGGACTGGGGCGTCAAGCGCATCATCGTGTGCAGCATCCTCGCCACCGAGGAGGGGCTGCAAAAGGCGTGTAGTGAGTGGGAGGAAGGCGTCGAGGTGTGGGTTGGTGGCTGTGACAAGGACGTGGATGACAAGGGTATGATCAAGCCCGGTCTTGGTGACATTGGAGACAGGCTCTTCTTGACGCTTGGGAAATGAGGCCGTTAAGCATCACGAGATATGATGAAATGATTCTACATGCATTTAGATCAATATAGAACAACGACAATGACTTTCATGACCAACACAACATCGAAGCCAAAGAAGCTTTTTCCCGTTACTATACTTGTACCTGACATAATCGCCCTTGTTTCGCGTTCCGTGATACTTACACCCAAGCTCCCCACGTCCGTCCCACCTGGGCAACGCACAGATGATACCCATCCCAAACTAGCGCTAGCCCAGGTATCGAAAAACGAACCCCAACCCGATACAGCCTAGCGTGCCCACCTGTCTACTTTTCCCCTTCCAGCTTCCCTTGCCTTCTCTTGCCTTCCCGGGCTAAAACACAAGTCCCAAACCAAGCTCACACCAGCATCCCATGCCAAACATGTTGCCATGAAACCAGTTCGCTGCCTTGGACGTTCCCCGGCAGTTCGTCTCGGAGCCCAAATGAAACAAAACGCCGGCCTTGTTTTGTGTTGTGTCGTTTCCCCTTGCTTGGTGCCGACATCGGTTGGGCTGGGTTGGGTTGGGTTGGTTGGATTGGTTGGACTGGGTTGGTTGGCTTAGTAGACGTCACGCTGGAAAAAGCCCTGGAGAGTGAGAGCAAAAAACATGTCCGGTCCGTCGAGATCGAAAGAGAGAAATAACGCCGCACGCCGCACGTATTGGTATTGGTATTGACTGTCAGCAAAGCACGCACACACACGCAGGGTGACCCCCAAGACGGCAGCATACGCTTTCTCAGCGGAAAGCACCTGCGTCCGTTGTGTGGTTGCCTGGGACGGAGAGCCCTGCGCCCTGCGTCGTGCGAGCGGAGATGATGGGGAAAGCTGGTGTGCGTGCGATCCGTGCCTGTAAGTCCGGTAAAGATATGTTTCTTGTTTTTTTTCTCTCCTTCTCTGTCTTTCTCGCGTTGGTTGAGAGAGGTTTGACTCCTTATCCTTGTTCTTAGCTATGGTTGTGGCCTTGGTCGTGGCTCGGGTTAATCTGCCTTCGACTCGCCTCGCCTCGTCGTGTGTGTGTGTACGATGGCGTGTTTGTTATTGCAGAACTTCCTTTTTTGGTCTTTCGCGATTCCTCCTTCCCTTTCCGTCCCGTATCGGCGTTTCCAAATTCCCGTGTCATGACGCCTTTCTTTCTCGTATTTGTAACACGCGGGCGTATGTCTGGTTGTTCCATTCTCCGCTCTCTCGTGTCAGCAACAGCACCCAACCGTCGCCGCCGCCGCTGGTGCGGCCTCGTATTGCGTGACGATGCGTAGTTTGGGAATTGGCTGTGGCTGCGATGGTGATGATGATGGTACTCCAGCATCGAGAATACGCCCATGCATGTCGTTGGCTAGGTTTCGCAGGCTCGTGTGGTCAATCTCCGCGGCCGGTGGTGCTGGTGCTATGGAGAGACAGGTACGATGTGCGCCGATGCGATCTTGGGCTTCTAGAATGGCGCGGCGCCCGCGTGTTCGGCGGCGTCGGGTGGTGGATTTAGCTGGGCCGATGTGGTCATGATCGTGGTGGTCATGTCGGCGTTGGAATAGGTAGACGAGGAGGGCTAAGATCAATGTTGTTACCAAGGTGAGTTCCAACATGGCGTTTGTATGTGGCTTGTTTTGTAGGTATGATTGGAGTTGTCTATTCAGAGAAGATCTGAGGTTTTCCACTAGAGAACAGCAGATGGATGAGATGTTTATGTGTGCGGGTTTATTTCATGGTCACGTCATCCCAGGGGCTGAGGTTCGGATTCTGTGACACGGGCGCGATGTGCTATATTCACACTATGCGTGGGTTGCTGTCCGACGCTGGATATTGTTCCCCCTGGCCGAGTACAAAAATCGGTGTTTGCACATCCAGCACATATCACCTCTACACTACACCCACCGCCCCTATCCTTCAAAAAACGCATCCATTCACATCCTACCACAACACCCATCTCCTCTCCATCACACCTCCCAATTTTCATAAAAACGCCCTCTCATAACCCTACCCACAACGCCCAACACCCTGGATCGACCCTGTACATCTCCCGTCAATCAAGCAAAGCAGCGTCAGCGTGGCTGTGCATTCCCGCACTATCCACCCTGTGGCTCAAGAGTGGCGTGACATAACTCGTAACTCTGTGAATCCGCCTTACCCAACCTATTTCGGAACACATTCCTCTGAGGCAGCAAGTTCGAAAAAAGGGCGCAAACAACGGACGGGACAGGGGGCGGGATGAAGCAAGTGCAGTGCGCATAAGCGAATAGGAAATATGCCGGTTCGAGGGGTAGATGGACTAGTGTGGCTGAGCGGGTTGATATACGGGCCGATTGTTTCTTTCTGTATGTAGATATGGGAGCCCGCAGGGTGGATAGATGCAAAAACTAGTGGATGTAGTTATGTATCGTGTCGACCTCGGCATCTACGTTTGTAGGATAAGGAGAGGGAGATAAGAGAAATTTACACTGGACTGGACTAAATGGGAAGGTACACGCTGATGATGGGGCAAGATGTGGGTTTTGTATGAGTGAAACAAGTTTTCATTACGGGTTCGTGCTGGTAGGTACGTTGATATCGTGGTGTTTGGTTTCTACGATGTGGTTGTTGTTCCGTTTACCCAGGGTGTGTCTGTCCACTCGTTTCCGAGCTAAAACATGTGTTAGCAATCATGAAGTAAAGAAACAGAGATAACAGAGGAAAACTTACATTCCAAACATCAATCTGCAACCAATACCCGCCCTCATAATCCAGTGCCGTTTGCAACACCGCAACAGCTAAAAAAACATACAAGTTAGTAAATCTCCCCTATCGACCTAATTGTCGCAAACCAGACTTACCAACAACACTATTCAACCAATAATATCGCCTATCCCCCGTCTCAAAAACCACCCTCAAATGACTCTCTCCCCCGGGCTGCGTCGCCCCACCCGTCCTAACATAAATCCACGCGCCATCATAAGTCTGCAGCTGATACCTAGTATCCGCACTAAAAATGCCCGTCTTTGGGTCTGTGAGGCCCCAATCGGCGCCTAGGTCGATGACGCGACCGTTGAGGCGGGGACCCAGGAATTCTCCTTCTACGATGGGAATGGCGGTGCGGATGCCCTGTGGGGACGCCATTTCGTAGAGCCCGGCTTTGCAGTTTACTTGCATTGTATAGAGGAAGTTGAAGCCGGGGGTGACGACGGGGAGTTTGGTTATGTTTTTGGGTATGTCCAGCGGGGGGAAGGTGGGATTTGGTGGTGTGGCCGTCGCCGTGGCCGTGGTGAAGAGAGAGAGGGCGAGGGGGAGGGTGGAGAGGAGGTGCATGATGGCGGATTGTTGTTGTAGTAGACGGATGAACCGGAGGTGTTCTGAGAATAGTCAAAGCCAATCGAGATTATAACAATGAATGTCGAGATTGTTCCGTGGGACCAATGTATTCAACACGATACCATCGTATTTATACACAAACATTAACTGACGCTGATAAACTGCCGGCATGTTTTACCGAAGGTACCGAAGGTTATCTGGGTTCCATGCAAAGATGCGATCGGTAGATGGAGAACCCCGCAACAAGATAGATCCATGACTAGATCTAGTTTAGCGTGACGGGTAAGTGCTGTCGACCCCGGACTCTTGGACATGTTCAAAGTGCGATCAGCAGGGCGGTTGTCGTGGCCCTTCGTATCGCTATCGCCGTCGTGACGAGTAAGCTCGGTTGTGTGCGATGTCCGGAGGGGTACAACGGGTCGGATGTACATACTAGATGTTTTCGATCACGTGGAGCTTTGATTCCCCCTCACTAGCACCCGTATGTTCCCTTTTAACGCAACAGTCATGAATCTGCTCTTCTTCAATATCACATCTTGAATCCCTGCTAAAACCCAGCGCGAATCGCACCTTCCAACCACGCCACACCAGCCATAACTCCATCCACAACTCTCACCCTACTACCCTCCACATCCCCCAACTCCTCCACACAAGCCTCCCTAACCATCTCATCCATCCCAGACATACCGGCACAACCCAAACAGATAGCGCCAACCTTTCCCTTGTTCAAAAGCCTCTTAACAGCATCCTTCATCCGCCTCCGCACCTCGTCAGCAGGCGCATCATGCAAATCCGTAGCATTCAACCCCGTCGTTTCGACCCCCGCAAACCTTTTACTAGCTTCGAAGCCCATGCCTAGAAAAGCAGTCGTCGCGTCGGTGAGAATCGTTTCCCACACTTTTCCAGTGCTTACGATGCCGAACTTTTCGTCCGGGTGCATGATTTGCAGTGCAGTGCTGACGCTAGCTTCGAAGATGCCCGTGACGGGTTTGCGTGACTTTTGCACGGCGGCTTCGTCCTTGAGGAGCGGGACTAGCGGATGTTGCGAGTAACATGCTACGAGGAAGCCGTGGTAGCGGTCGAGGTCTTTGCGTAGGGCTGGGAGGCAGTGTTGTACGGATTCGGCGGCATCGTCTTCATTGTTGATGCTTTTGGGGCCAGAGGGCGCGGTAAAGTATTCGTGGGCCGTCTGCTTGATGTGGTTAGTTGCTGGGTAGTGGTTGTGAGCGGTGCTTATTAACGTCTTTGAACTGCAGCGCATCGACAAGAGGCTTTAGGCCGTTTGTCATTTGCTCGGTCGAGTTTGGGTTGATGATGAGGATGGACCGCATCTTGCTATATCTTGGATTGTGACCGTGACGGTATTCACCCATTAGTTTTGTTCGCAGCGCTGGACCAGCTTTATGAGGGCGGGTGCGGGCGGCGTGTGAGCGGAGGTGGAGTAGCGAGCAAGGGTTCGCGCTACGTCATTGCCTCGGGCTGTTTACATGTTGTTATGGGCACACAAAAGGACGCAACAAAGCATCACGGCAAGTTTGATAAGTTCAAATTGTCATAGTATTCTACTGTGAATGCAGCCGTGCATAGGACAAGTTATCGAAACCGCAGAATTCCCAGTATTAACCGCCATGCATCTTCAACCCATGCCAACGCCATCGCAAGACAAGATCAATGTAGGAAGCTGGGCATGTCAGGAGCTATTCATAGCTACACATCAAAAGCAACTTACAGGTCGTGAATCGTGAGCCAGAGCCCTCAAGCCGCAGAATCATCTGAAGCAGGAAAAGCGTCCACAGGAAATGCGGAAGGGAGCGCGACGGACGCCGTGTCGGTCAGCAACAACACCACCGCCTAGAAGCTATTAGTAGATGCCTGTGGGACAAAAAGCCTCTGACCGGAACAGACGGCTTCAAGGACGAGCTAACGTACCGGCATGGCGGCCTCCCCATTGTTTAGTCCACAGAAGACCCATGGTTATACGGTATTGATTGGTGTTTCGAGGTTGTAGTCGGCAAGGGGTAGTTTTGCGCGTCAGAAGTGGGTAAATCGGAGAGTTTGTGATTGTCTTGCTGTATTTGGCTTGTGGTGGTGGATCAAAGGGTACTCGCAGCGCACGGCGGAATATATAGCAGCTACCCCAGCTCAAATGGCGGAGGCTGGACTTGTGAAGCAGGGACGATGGACATGTGGGCACCACGTCATAGGCTGGAAGCCAAGGGCTTGGAACATGCAGCACAGCCACGCTAGGACCACGATATTTTGGTACGTGAATATTGAGATGGTTTAGTATGGGCTAGCATGTTAGTGCTTGGGGTTGTTATTGGTTACGTCAAACCCCGCGAAGTGGTGCGCCACAGTATCTGGGCTCTAGTGATGGGACCGCGCGGTAAAAGCTCCTCATGACGAGTACGTGTGGCTCAGTCTGATCCCAGTGTTTCATGTCAATAGATGGGTATCGTGGCGTGAAACGATTTGGCCATGAAGATTTATTCGTCACATAGCGGGTTATGTACTTGCATAGGGTGTTTCTGATTGAACGTACACTTCTCAAGCAAAGACCATGACTTGCTTGAACCAGATGGAATTTTCTAGTGTATCCGTTTGTATCCGTTTTCGATCCAATACCGTATGCTGACCAGCTTTCGTTCCTATAGTACAATGTCGTGTCTACAGACGTAGACTAGACCCAGATATGGCTGTAGGTTATTATCTTCCACCCATACCGCCTCCTTGTGCCATTGCAGCGTTCTGCTCCTGGAAGCGGTCGCCTAATCGCTGCGAGCCCTTCATGTGCTTGTCTACGCAGCGCATAACGCAGCTCTCTTCGCGCGAGGTGAGCGACTTGCTCTCGAAGCCATTGACGCAGTGGTCGAAGCATTGTTGGACGAGGTTGGAGTACATCTGGCTGTGTCAACATGGGCAATATTGGCTTGCCTGTTACTATCATACGTTCATGAATTCCTTCATCTGCTTCTTCTCCATGCGCGACTGCAGCTCGCGCTGCTCAGAGGCTGTGAGTCTAGCAGACGATTAGTTTTTCACACATATAAACTGACAACAATACGTACGACTCCATGGTGTGTATGTGTGTGTGTGTGCGTGTGTGTGTGTATGGACGGACGACGGAAATTTGGCTGTGTAATGTGTCCGAGAGGGAATTATTGGTATGACGTCGGGTGGTAGTCTCGTTGCTGTATTGACGAGCTTTCGCCCATGAGCGTGGGAGAGAGCTTTGGCCGCCGGGCGGTCCGTTCTTGACCCTTCACCCTCCAAACGCGGGAAGAAGCGCCCATGACAGCTCTGCCTGCCTTGAAGAGGATGAAAAACCGGCCATATCCAGGAAGCTTGCTGTCCTTGTCACGTCTCTCCTTTTGCACTGCACCCCGTATACGCTCTCACTCTCGTAGACGCGCAATCAATCACTATCGTCGCCACTTGTACCTGTTACCTTTTCCCGCCAAGGCCGTCTTTATTATTGGAATCCTACTCCAGCGATATAGCAGAACAATAGCGATAGCACAATAACACGCCCCTCTTAAGCCCACGTCCACATCTATCCCGCCCCCCGTCTGCCGTCTGCCGTCTGCCGTCGCCGTTCTGATCGCCGCTGTATTCTGCCAACGACGACAGAGGCAGAGCAGGACGTCAGACAACGCTGTGCCGTCTCCGTCTTTTTACTGCATAGTCGCAATTGGTCGGCAGCCACACATCACAGCCGCCAAGTCAGTCGAAGGTTGGCTTTTGACCAGCTATCCACGGCGCGCCTCGATACAGTATTGCGCAGCCCTGCCCTGCACGCCTAGGGTCCTAACGTTAACCGTTGCCGGCCACAAGTCGCGTACCAAACCAAACTCGACGTGTACCGGTAAAGTCTCACGTCTGTCTGCTCGTGCGTCTGCGCCCGCGCCCTCAGCGTCTTCTACTGCCCGCCCTGCGCATCAAACCTCGGGCAGAATACGAGCAGAGCCCCGCCGCTGACAGCGCGCGCTTCATCGCCATACGCCGACGTTACGTAGCGGCCGCCCAGACAGCTGCCGCCTGCCCACTTTGGGCCCACCTGTGCCTGGACAAGACCACTCCACACGACGCTGCGATCGCCCCAACGCTTGCGATACAGTCGTCTGAAGAGCTGCGCCGCTCTTCAGCACGCCTGCCATGCCCGCCCAAACGCAAACAAACCCAAATACTCCGCGCGTGCGCAATGGAGACCCCCAGCCCGCCCCCGTCGCAACTCCAGAACCTGCCTCGTCGCGCCGCGACTTGACCTCGTGGTGGAGGCAGTTTAGCAAGCGCCCCGCGAAAAAGGACGACGACAAAGGTACCGCCCATTGCTCTTTTTCGCTAGAGACTCTCCCCCCCAACGCCTGCGCGTGCCTGTCCTCCCCATTTCCGCTTGTCGCGAGCCCTCACTGACTGCATCTCCCTACATAGATCAAGCGCAGCCCGGCATCTTCGGCGTGCCCCTCATACAAAGCATCCCCTATGCCAATGTCGCCATCTCGCTCTTCAACGAGCACGGCGAGAGCTACATCTACGGCTACGTCCCCATTGTCGTCGCCAAATGCGGTGTATTCTTGAAGGAAAAGGGTCAGTCATGTCAGACTTTACCTAACATCAGCTGTTAACAGCGCACAGCGACCGACGTAGAGGGGATTTTTCGCTTGGCCGGCTCGGAAAAGCGCATCAAGGAGCTCAAGGCTGCGTTCGACACCCCGCCACGATATGGAAAAGGCCTGGATTGGTCCGGCTATACTGTACATGACGCCGCCAATATTTTGCGCCGCTACTTTAACAATCTCCCGGAGCCCATAATACCACTGCAGCATTATGACCCCTTCCGGAATCCACTCAAAGGCCACCAAGCCGAAGCTGTAGGCCCCAGCGAAGGACAGCAACCCTCGGTTGGAGGCTTCGACCCAGATGCCGCCGTTCGCATATATCAGCATCAGATCAAAGCTCTACCATCGTTGAACCGACAATTGCTACTATACATCTTGGACTTGCTCGCCGTCTTCGCCGCCAAGGCCGATGTCAATAAGATGACGACCTCGAATCTCGCTGCTATTTTCCAACCAGGCCTTCTGTCACATCCCCAGCACGACATGTCTCCCCAGGACTACCGTCTCAGTCAAGATGTTTTGATTTTTCTCATTGATAACCAGGACCACTTCTTGATCGGTATGGAGGGCACAGCTGTCGACGAGGGGACCGTGAAGCATATTGAAAGCGGACCCTCTACTCCGCAAGCCAGAACACCCACCACCCCGGGCCGCAATAATTCCGGCATTGGCCGTTCTGCGTCGACTACTTCCAGCGCTGGAGCAGAAAGCCTCCGCATGCATGGTGGTATTCGTCGCAATGTCTCCACGTCTTCAAAGCGATCACGTCATTCCGGCGCCGTACCTAGTCCCATCACACCTGCCTTTTCCTCGCCCACTGCATCTGGAGTACATCGGAGCAACACACTACCCTCGAAGCGCGGACCGACGCTCGGCAGTCCTCGCTTTCCCCCGCCAAAGCAATCTGGCCACTCCCCTACTGCCGCGGATGAGGTCAAGAGCCCGATTGCCGAGTTAATCCCTACAGATGCGGAAACTAGTATTGCTGAAATGAAGCAAGAACCTGAGCAGTCACGCTCAGAGCAAGTTCCAGAGCCTGTAGCTCCCGCAGCGGAGCCGGTCCCAGCGACGCAGCCAGTCGAGCCGGAACCCGCACTACCACAACGATCCCAGACGATGCCTCCGAATAAAATAGAGATGCCGAGACCCTACGAACCCGGTCATACGCGAGAGGCATCTCTCCCCTTTGCTTTTTCTCAACAGCAGAGGGCCTCGGTTACGCCTCTAGTCAATGACATGCCCGGTGCATTCCCTCTTCCCTCTCCTGGAATAATCCCCCCAAGCCAGCCTACCACACCAAATGTTACCGCACAGAACGTCCAAGCTTTGTTACCTCCTCCACGATCGACCACGCCGGGTCAACGTAGCCCCCAGCGCAGCCCCCTTAATACACCTACGCGCGAAAGATTGGAATTTCTAGAAGGACCTATCGACTCTGGTCCGTCAATTGAGCCAACTCCGGCTGTGCGTACCTTTACCCAAATTCTTGCCAAAGTATCGGCTTCGCCAGGCGAAATCAAGGACAACAAGGATTCACGCAAGCCGAACAAACTCCAAAAAAAGCGGTTGCCAAACAGCATTAGCCAGAGCACCCACAGCTCCACACATTCTCTCGGTGGCAGTGACAATGGATTTGGTGCGGGTCACTTTTTCCAAGGGCCACCTTCACCTTTGCAGCCCCCTCATCTTCCGTTTGCGCATGGCCAGTCTCAGGCAAGTACATCAAGAGAAGCGGTACACGATGCAAGTTCTTCGCGCACTTCAGGTAATACTCTGAAACCTAGCATGTCGCCCTCTGCCTCTTTTAGGTCGCATTCGACTGCAACGGAATACTCTGAGACTGAGCTGGCGGAAGAGCAACCAAAAGAGGAGAAGCGCAGCTTTTGGAAAGGCCACAAGCGTGGGGAGAGTAAAGCAACACCGACAGCAAGTCAGACGGACTTGCATGGCTCTGTACCCGGCGCTGATAGGAGTATGAGCTCATTCGCTAGCAGTTCTGGGCTAACAGGTGGCGGTCGAAGAAGCATGCAGTTTGATCAAAGCTCAGAAACGCCCATGATTTTTGGCAGCCCACCTGACCCCGACAGACTGGAGAAGAAGGGCACATTCGACTGGTTTCATAAGCGCCGGCATGAACACAGGGATCGCGCAGACAAGAAAGAGAGAGCAAAGAGTCCGCCTGGCAGTTCTGGCTTTCTGCCTCCTCCACAAAATATGACACAACCCACGGAAACGCTCACTGTCCGTGGATGGCCATCTGACACTCAGCACATATCGGATGATGCGCAGGCGAAAGGGGACAAATCCAATAACGTCACACCTACTGGTACAAGTCCAACTCCGCCGCCGGCAGTCTCCACGTCTAGTCCAAAACCACATAGTCCACAGCCTCGAATGGCAGTACGGACGGATCTTCCAGCTGCTTTGACCGAACCAAGATCAATCGCCCGATCTCCAGATAGGAGCCAAATGTCATCCCCTGTGGCACCGAAATCCTACTCCCAGGGCTTTCTTACCGCTGGGAATGGCGACAATGCACCTCAGGCTAACAACGAAGCAACGGCTCAGCGGAACGCTTCAGCTTCTCCTCCACAGCCCGTGGAGTCCAACTCGACGCCGTCTGGACCTCATCACGCTTCATCTAATTCTACCATTACTGTCACTCCCGAGACGATGAAGACAGAGGCAGCCTCGAGCGCACCTCTAGCTGACGAAAATCGCTCCCAGCTAACAGACCAACCCGCTCCGTAGGTTAGAGCGGTGGAGGATACATGTGTTCATGTAGAAGATACCAATGGGAATCATGTGTTTGGCAGGGATTGATGATTTGTACAGCAATGCAATGGACAGTTGCAGTCCACAATATGTAAGCGTTGAGCGTGTTTTGCATATAAAGGACATTGCAGTGGACGATAAAGCTGCATACAGGCATGGGGTAGTGTTGTATAGCTACGGAGCGCGCAGAAGTAGGAACAATACGTTTTGTTTCTTTCTACACTATCATCATGGCCAAGAATGTGTGCGGGGATGTACCCCTGGCTAGCACACGTGATGTTGAGCGTTGGGTGGTGTTGAGTAACGCGGATCCAAAGGCCGCTCTGCCGTGTCAGCCGTGTTCCCGCGCCAACAAAATAGGTGGGCCGGTGGCGAAGAAGCGTAGCTCGGTGTCGGCGGTCCGAGAAGCTAGCCAGTGAAAGCAGAGTGCTGGGCTCCTGACACGATCTGAGTGGTGGCTTTGCGGCAGTTCTGGATGGTGAGAAAGGCTATTTTTACCCATTGTTTTTCAGGGGTTCCTGATTGGCAAAGGCTTCTGGACCGCAGCTCTGAACACGTCGTTAAACACGAGCAACAAAACAAGCAAATCCAGATAGATTGGCGATGATGATATTAGGGTTTATGCGGTCTAGATGTCATTTGCGGAGCAAAAGTGTCAAATGGTCCACAAGCGCACTCGGTGGATGCCCTAAGCAGCCTCAGCACGGCTCCAACCTTGAACGAAGCAGTCGCGGCGCCGGTAGCGTTGGCACAGACATGACGTTGTTTAGAAAGAAACCCATGCGCAGTTTCTACCAGAGAACGTAACAAGGGCGTCGCATATAGCGACCCTGAACTGTATGTGCCAACTCCATGGCTGTCCTGTTTCATGACACCGATTGCGTCACGCTGTCGTAAATGCTTCGCTTCAGGATGAATCGCCGCTGTGCGGAGAATGTAGAAGGGCATGAATAGGTAATGATGATTGGTGATGGGTACATGCAGTATCGGAATGCTTGAATGCGGACAAGCATGAGGTGCGCGGAAGGGTCGGGGCACATGTGAAGGTGGCTTAGCTATTTTAGGCGTGGTGAGAGGCGAAGGATGCGGGTCTACACTTCGTGTTTCTGTCATGTAGTGCATGTATCAGCAGCCTTCTTAGTTTGGACCACCTTCTGCCTTAAGGGCTGATCTTCCCTTTGCCGACCTGGACCTTTTTTACTCCGCCCAAAACCCTGGTTCCTGTGACTTCTCCGACTTGCACTCCCTTCCCGACTAATTGTTCCGAACCCGACCTTGCTTTGACGTACCCTACATTCGCTTTCTTCTGTTTGAAAAGAAACGACCATCTGTAGTCCCGGATAAGAACCGAAAAACAAGCAACGAGGCTATTGATTGTTTGGCAAGTGGCGTCTGACCTGCAACCCAGCCACTCGGAAGCGACAGAATGTGAGTAACCCAGTTTCGCGTACACACGACACTCGTATAAGCTTCAGCAGCGGGTTTGCTGCAACGGCCGCCGTGTTCTTGATTACAACATGGCCTGCTAACAGGATCTGCGCAGTTTCTGTTTCCGTTTGTTGACATCAGCCCACATTCGCTTTCCCTCCACCTTCTTCCCACTTCGGTTATCCACGACACAATCTCGCCATGCGTTCGTTCTGCCAATTGGCTGTTTTGGCCCTTCCCCTGTTCAGCACTGCAGTTGTTGCCTCAGCGGATGATCAAGCCGAGAAACCTTCGACGCTATACGCAAGTGCACAGGATGTATTTCAAGACCTTCTCAACGCGCTACCCGAGGAGTCTCTGCAAGCGGCATTGAGTGGACTGAAGGACTTTAAGAACGGTGTCTTCGAGTCACACCACCGCGGCGTCGAACATGTTCACAGCAGCAACCCAGCGCTTGCCACGAAGCTTATCGTCGACGCCGTCATGGACTTGAGGAAGCGACAGGCGCCCCAGGCCAACAACGGCACCACCACTGTTACCGAAGCTGCTGCATCCTCACCCCAGTCAAATTCACCTCCGCCGCAGACGGAGCAAGCCTCGACACCTGCTGCGACTAGCAATGCACCACCTGCCCAAAGCAGCAACGCACCCCCAACTCAGAGCAGCCAGGCACCAGCAGAGAGCTCTGCCGAGCCTTCGAAGCCTCAATCCAATCCTGGTAGCACAGCCAATGCGCCAACAGCCACTGTGACAACTACAGCCGAGAAGACGACTACAGCTCAACGTCCGGCCCTCATCCCCGTTGTAGCCACTGTCACCCAAGATGGCACCACTGTTGTGAAAACAACCGAGGTACTCAGCGCCGTCACAGCCTCTGTCGCCGTGACCGTCGTCCGCACAAACCAACAAGGCAGCACCGTAACACAGACTGAAAACCGCCCTGCTGTCATCAAGACAGTAACCGACAGCGCCGGCCGTACAACCGTCACCACCTCTGCCGCAAACTACGCCCCAACTGCCGGAGAAGTAAAGACCCAAACCAACGAACAGGGCTCGACCTTCTTGACCACTTACACCCCTGGCGGCGGCCTCGTCAGCAGCATCCAGCTCATCACCACCACAGATTCAGAGGGTCGTCCTAGTACCATGACCAGCTACACATTCGTGGACCCCATCCAAGCAACGCAAACCGATGACAAGACAACTGCCACCGGCAAGCCATCCCTCCAAACCGGTGCTGCCATCAAGAACGCAGCGCAGTACGCCGCCGTCGGCGTGGGCGCGTTTGCCTTTTTTTTATAGAAATTATGCGCTAGGAACATTGTACATATAACGAGCAACACGACAATTTTCCTCATCTTTCTGTCTCTCTAATTCTTTGGCATTTCCAGCGACAAAAAAACTCCTTTTTTGATACCCTGGATACACACTCCTTTGAGAAACAAAACTTTGGCATGGTTTGTTTACCTTTTAATCGGTTTGGGCTGGGCATGATAGGTATATATGGGATGGATGGGATGGATGGGTATTTAAGTTGGGCACAAAACGGCGTGGCATTGTAGTATACATGACGGAAACCTACTATTTCACAGAAGGGCGCTCGGTCTCTTGGTTTGCGTTTAGGGTCTACATACTGGGACTTTACATACGCATTAATCAAGTAGAAGTAAAGAAATACACGAGGAAAATGTTCAAATTGAAATTGCCGTTGTACTACTTACATGTGATGTCTTCTTCACATTGATTGTCGAAGCAAACACAACTAAAGCCTGTCCGTCGTCCCGGCTCCACTCGATCCACTGAGTAATATAGTTCCCCCACCCGTCGACCGTCAGAACCCGTTCCTCATGCACCTTCTCGGGTGTGATGCGGAAAGAAAACCACGAGCTCAGATCCGTCGTTCGTTCGTGGTGGACTAACACCCTGGGTGTAAAGACTAGGAAGAAAGAAAGATGGGTGATGGTGATGGAGGGGAAGGTAGGTGACCGTAGATGTAAGCGTAGGCCTCAGCAAAAAGGGCAGAGTATGAGAGGGGTAGCGGCGTTCTTAGACGCGAAAGAAGGTGTAGGTGATAAAGATGGTTGAGAAGGATATAGATAATATTGTGGGTGTTTGGATAAGGGGTTTGTGTCGACGCAAGGAGTGAACAATGGAGTAGCAAAGAAACCGGGAAAAATAGACGTGTGTAGTGCTAGGGGTGTGTGTACGTGATTGGAAGAGTATGTACGGTAAGGCCGATGCCAGGATGGATGATGTGATGGGATGATTGTATAGAGAAGATTGTAAGTTTTCGCTTCTTCTTAAGAGAGAGGGGGGAAGGAGAAGGTAATAGAGGGTTACTTACATGATCAATGAGATAGCCTGAGCCAACTAGAGAGCTTACTTTCGAGACACAAGCTTGAGCCAGAGTGGCTTGTCTTTCCACGTCACGTAGAGCTCCTGGTCTGCCCGGCTCTCCTTGGGATTTGCCAAAGAAAAGTCAAAGTTCAGAATAGGCAAGGTCAGAATCAGCCTCATTTTCATGAATGCGACCCTGCGAGTCGCTGATTAGTAAGGTATGTAACGGCGCGAACAGATTCATACGTACTTTCATCGGAGACAGCTTCTTGGACCCAGTGCAAAAGGCTGTGATGCTCGGTGTCGATCGTTGATGTGGGCTTCATTGTTTTCAACAGGATGCGGTGGCAGCCAGCGCTCAGGAACCAAGTCTTCGGGATGGTGGAAGTATCGAGGCAAATGAGCTGCTGTGTGGAAACCCGGGTCTATGAGATTGGTTGCCTTGCCAGCAAATTTGGAAGAGGAGAGGGTGCCAGAGTCAGAGAAACATAGAGGCTCAAGTTAACAGTCATCATGCCAGCTTCAAATGCACCGTATGCAACTTTAGGCCATGGATGCCACTCGCGGTCTCGTAGGCAGTTGAAGGACTCCAAGAACAACGTAGGGGAGTATGTAAGTTCGGTAAAGCCATGGCCCAGGAAACATTCGCAGAGGGTGAAAGTATGTGTTGTACGATCCAAGTGCTAACATGTATAATATAATCTAACCATAACCATCTTAGTTTGCGTGGAGTAAGTGAGTAGTTGTACTTGTGCTTACACAAAATAACAGCATCGTTGTAAAGCTTTGCCCGGGTCATGTTGGCGATCCACTGGCCTATAATCCCCCTATGATGGCTGTCAAAAAGTATTGGTGCCCGGTCTGACGTTCGATACATTCTGGTAATTTCCCAGCGATCAAAAACCCCGGAGCAGCTTTCATCAATCTAGTTCAAACACAACTAGACAACCCGCACAAAAGAGATAAGTAGAAAGAATGGGTATTGAAGATTTTGTATAAAAATGACAACGCCACTATGCTATGCGCAGTCAGGTCAGAGAAAGAATAGAGTGAGTGTGACACCTGTATCCATCCAGTAGCCGAATACCGCCTGCCCGTCCGCCCACGCGCGCAAAATGCAAGCCCCAAAAGCATGTTTGCCCTACTTGAGCCCATCCAACCATGACTCAGAAGACAGACGGAGAGAGGGGGAGATGCTAAGCAAAAGTGGATCACCGTCCTCCCTACAGATATAATACAAGAACCAAACCCGAAGTTAAACAAGTCCTAGCGAAGGAGGAAAAGACTAAATGATCAACAGGTATATGCCATGCCGCCTCAACGCGCCTTTGTCGCAATAAAATACTCGACGCTCTCTCCTGCCCAACTCACGCTGTTAGTACCGGACTCATAGCGTTCCTCATCAAAGAGGCCGGCAATGCTTTGTTCGTTGCGCACGCCCTGCTTTGCGCCGCCGCCAAAGCTCTCCAAGCTAACAACCTTACAGCCCTGCTTCAAGTCTAGAAACTTTTGCAGCAACAGGTTGTTCAGCGTTTCGCCAAACACCTTGTTGTTGACAAGCACGACGTCTGCTCTACGTAGCACGTCGTCTATCTCGGGGCTTTCAAGGAAGTCGCCTTCGATGAGTTCGATGCGGCCAAGGGCAATGTTCCAGAGTTTTGAGCGCGCTTTGAGCTCAGAGGCTTGTTGGGAGCCGAGCGAGGCGGCGAGCTTCATTTTTTCTATGCCCCAGCTTTCCGCGCCAGTCTGCAGGGCCGACTGCAGGACGACGTTGCCGACGCCGGAGCCGAGATCAACAAATGTGTGCGTGGAGTTTAGGCCGGTTTGGGCGAAGATCTTATGGACAAAGGGGGTGAGGAGTTCGCCGTACGTCGTCTCCTTTCCTTCGACCTTACGTAAGCGGTGGGCATGGGGTGATACGATGCGGTTGTAGCTTTGGGCGGTGATGCGCTTGACGAGGCTGAGGGGGATGGCATGCATATCGTCGAGAATGCGGGGTATTGTGCCGTCGCTATATCGGTCCTTGATCAGCTTGTTGAACTTGGCTAGCTCCTGCTTAAAAAGGTCGGGGTCATCCTTGGTTACGGCGCGCTTGAGCAGGCGGACGGTGCCGAGCGCATCAGACGATAGCTCTGCGGAGAGATCTGGCGGGAGATAGTGCTGGATAATCTCCTCGATGCTGAAGTAGATGTCTTCTAGCGGACTGTATTCCTCATCCACCTCTTTGCGCGCGACCGCCTCGAACTTTTCTGGCCGGGATGGGCTTGGATACTGTAGCTCCATGACAAACTTGTTGTCGCTACTCGGAAATGCTGGCTTATAGGCCTTTGCTCCATCGTCTTTTGTCATCTCATAACCGTGTTTCAAGGTACTCTTGCCGGCTATAGCCTTCTTCTTCCGGAACGCGGCGTTCTCTTGGGCCAGCTTGATCATCTGGTCTGGTGTGCCATTCGAGGTGCCGTTGGTGTCCCCGTTTGCTGTCCCGTTGACAGCATCTTTCTTTTCTGGGTCTTGTATCCGTATACGCCGCTTTAGATCTGGTTCGAGGGCGCGGTTCAAACTCATAGGCTCAGTACTACTGCTGGCAGGCCGTGTCTTGCGGCGCTTGACGCCCAGGTGGTCGCTATCCTCCTCATCGCTGGACTCGTCACTGCTTGCCCACTGGGGGGTATCGGTTCCCTTGCGCTTACGGGTGTCGACACGCGACACGGTTACTGACGTGCGTGTGGGTTCTCGCGAGCCTGTTTGCGAACGAGGGGTCGACTGAAAGCGATTTGATGGAGGCCCTGATGAACTATGACTGCGGGCGCCGTTGGCTGGTCTTGACTGTGTGCGCGGCTGCGGCGATGGTCTTTGAGCGGGGACGGGCGCCTTCTTGACGAGGACGGTTCTCGTCTTGATCTTCGGTTTTCCAGGAACGAACATAACGGCGGCGCTAACTAAAGTTTGTCGTAAAGGGTGTGAGTGGGTGAATGCAGGCAAAAGGCGGGGTACGCAGCGGGCCGGTGCAGATAAGAAGGAGTGTATCGGTGAGGGCAGCCGGCAGCGAGAGAGAAGACAAAGAAAGGCAACAGCCAGCCAGCCAATACCGAAGACGTCGCACGCGCAATCCAGAAGATACCTGACCGGCCACGCTTGCAAGCCTGACAGGGATCGTCTCGCGTAGCCCGCCTTGGCACACGGAACAAGCCCCTTGACATCACCAGCCTGACCTTCTTGCCATCTACGCCAGCCTGGACTATACAACACCATGTTGCGCATTGATGAGCGTTGCTATGTCCACATCATGCATAGTCTTTCATGCCCGAGGCAGCAGCTTATCTTGACTCTGCATACCATCACTGCCTGCCAGCGCAGGCAACATCGTGCAGCATGCGCACTTCACAAGCACTGCAGCATAAGTACATGTCCTTTGTGCTCCTACATTTCTCCGAACATCTTGCCCCTTGATTCCTTGACTCTTGGTAAGCTCTCAGTGTCAACCTCACATTGACCTGAAATACCGCGGTAGACCGGTCTTGGCATACCACACATAGAGGTACCGCCAAACTAAGCTTTGAGTGACACGTTTCGAAAATACTATCAGAAGAATTTAGAGCGGATAAACAAAATGCGCATCTTTAGCGAGGACCACATCGTGTGCGGTACTAGAAGCGGTCAGGGGAGTCCATTTATGACCCGCTTCGATCAGACCGCTTCTGATACAGACCACTCAGGGCCATGTGATCAAAGGGAGGATTGTGGCTTGGGTGTGGAAGAGACTCTTATCATACAACCCCACACACCCGTACATATCCCCCCACCCACGTCCACCCCCATAGATTCCCCCCCAGAAACCCAAACCCCCCATGGCCCAGCCAACCAGCCAGCCACCGATAAACTTGTCAAAACCTTCCCATCTTCAATCCGCAGCCGCGTTCGCTCCTTCACAGACGCCGAACCGCTCGCTTTCCGATGGAAGTTCCCTGTCAACAAGCGGTACCGCGTCAAGGACGAAGAGGCCTTTGCAGCACTGCGAGAGAAGAACATTGAATGGTATGTCACCACCGGCCTGCTCAAAGAAGACCATCTCGGCTTGCAGTGGGCTGCCGGTGACTACACGTATTTGTTGTACTGGCACCATGACTGGATGCCGACTCCAGCTGGTGTGGATAGCACGTGTAGGGGGCTGCACATAGCACCAGAATTCATTAGAGAGTGGCAGGTAGGGAACTGGGAGAAGCATTTCGCAGATGTAGTCTTGGAAGATCGACCCGCGACGCCGTTTGTTGATCAGTCTGATTCGAGCATTGCACCGCTGTTTCTTTGGAAGGGGTAGGAGGTCTCGTAAACACTCCCAACATTGCCGAGACTTTGCCTTTGTGTCGTAGAAGTGCACTAAGTAAATGTCGAGTTCCGCCCCCTCTATCATCCGACTCCGATGCAGGCTCCCCCGTTAGAGGGAAGAGGGTGCGTCTGCATCGGGAGAAGAGTTACAGGATCTTGGAGCTTGCCATGGACGACTCGGGTGTCCCGGTGGAGGAGGAAGGTAAGGTGGTTGAGACCAAGATCGACGAGACTGCTATTTTGACGGACAACGAGGGCAAGACAGTGAAGAGTTGGTTGCGTATGTTATTAGAGTGAGCATCCACGTTACATTGCTATAATACCTCACTAGTCTTTAATTCAACCACAAGCCATTAGCATTCGTAATTGTCCAGTACAAATACCGTGAGCGTTTACAAGCAAGGTTCATAGAAGAAGCCACATGGGCTGATTAGAGTTAAAAGACATAGTCTCTTCCGCACGCAAGCTCGAAGTCGAGTGCAGGTGGCTAGGTACTAATACAATTGGGAATGTGAAGTTTACGCTCCCATCAGCGTCTTCGATCCCGACTACGGCTTCGGGTGCGGCTCCTTGCACGCCTCCGCCTGTCTCTATCATCTCGTCCTCTGTCACGACTTCGCTCACGACTCCTGTCCCTAGGCTTGCGATCGCGATCTTTGTCATCGACATCGCCACCACCGCCTGGTTGGTAGCAGTCGGACTCTAGACGTCTACTTCCTCGTTCTCTACCGCCATCCCAACGGTCGTAGTCTCGTGCACGGTAGCCTCGTGGACGGTCACGGCTGTTGTCACGTTTCCGAGGCGGCCGACTGTCCTCACGCTTACGATCTCGACTGTCCTCGCGTTTACGGGAGGCACCAGTGGCTGCAACGCCACCACCTGGTACATAGCGATCAATGTTGTCGGGACTCCTAGAGCGAGAATGGCGGCGGCGGCGTTCGCGCTCGCGCCGTCCCCCTCGTGACCTCGAGCGCGAACGATCGCGACGCCGTTCTTCTCGAGGTGGCGAAGGACTGCGAGACCCGTAGCGCGACTTGCGGCGGCTAGTATGCGTCTCGCGTGAGCGACTGCGACTGCCACGGCGCGAGTGTTTGTCATCCCGGTCATCTCGATCCCGCCGTGAAGGTCTGTATGAATGTCTATCGTCATCCCGTCGAGACCGGCGGTCGTCTGCATAACGAGACGATTGCCTATCGTAACGACTTCCACGAGATGGTGAGCGGGTTTTGCTACGTTTTCTAGTACTGCGAGCGACACTACGTGATCGTGAACGACCCCGCGACTTGTCAAGCTTGGATGGCAGCTCAGGCGGATAATCCCATCTCGACTTTTCGATTGATGGAGCGTCCGTCATAGCCGTGTCGTCGTCCTTTGCGAGCGCAGTTGGTGTCTTTGGGGCGGGGGTCTTGCTATCCTTGCTTGGCGAACCATGTGCGGGTGAAGTAGACTTGCTTTCGAGCTTCGCCAGTCGGGTGGTTGCCGGGTCTCTGGGAACAAGGGACTTGGGAGGTTGCGCTTTACGCATAGGAGGTTCAAGTGATTCCGATCGTTCTAGAACAGGCCGTTGTCGAGACTTCTTCATCTGCTCGCTTTCCTGCAGCAGTAACTGAAGCGCTAGGTCATCATCCACTTTGATATCTCCAGGTTTGAGGGACGGGCGACGTTCGGGTGACCGGGTCCTTGTCCTACTCCTCCGCCTGCTCCTGTCTCGTCCGCGACGGTCCCTATCACGTTCGGGAGTCCTGCTACGTCCACGACCACCCCGACGACGGCCGCCCCGATCTCGGTCGAGCTCCTCCTGTATGCGTCGCTCCCTTTCGGCATCTTCCTCGCGAATCTTCTTCAGGCGTGCCTCACGGCTCTTTTCGTGTTCCTCGCGTTCCTTCTTGAGGCGTAGGCGCTCCTCCTCTCTCTCCTTATCGATCCTCTCGCGGTCCTTGCGCCGCCGCTCCTCGTCTTCCTTTTCTCGTTCCTCGCGCTCTTTGCGCCTCCGCTCCTTCTCTTCCTGGCGCGCCTTTTCACGAGCCTCATCCTCTTCCCTCTCGCGACGCTTGCGCTCCTCCTTCTTCGCTCTTTCCTCGCGCTCCCTCTCACGCTCTTCCTCAAGTTCTTTCTCACGCCTGGCCTCACGTCTCTCACGTCGCGCCTCTGCTTCTTGCGCCCATTCTTCCTCGGTTTTGCTGCCCCGCTTCTCTTCCTCGGCGGCTGCTTCAGCGCCAATTTCTTGGATGCGGTACTCGCGCATCTTTGGCAGACCTTGCTCTTGGATCAATCGGTCCAGCAAAGTGTTCACAGTGTTCATGATGTTCCCGTAAATATCGCTGCGTTCGCCTGCGCCTTCAATAAGTGTCGTCGCCATTCGGGGGTCTTTGGACAGCAATGAGGGATTGCGATCAGTCTCGCGCTCGACGAGATCCTTGAGAGCGGCTTGGAGCTCATCCTTGGCTGGCTAGAGTATGAAAGTCAGAACTGCGTGCATGCGAAAAATATGTAGCACTTACTCCTGATACGTATTGCTTCATCAGGTCTCGGCGGATATCGTCGTACGTTCCCTTTTTCTGGAACATATGCACCAAGCCGTCGATGGCTGCTCGTTTGGCCTGCGACAACGGGAGCTCCGAGGGCCTCAGTTTCTTGCGCACAGTCGCAGGCCCATCGCCGTCAAGCGCGCGCTTGCGGCCAACGTCGGCCATGGTTGTTTGATTGCTGTTGCGCTCACTCGTGCAGTCGTTGTTGCTGTACTATGGGTGCAGTCGTTCGCATCCAGGTACGGGCTGATTGCCAGCAATCAAGTGACGTAAGACGACGAGAAAGCGCTACAAGACCATGCGTCCCAAAAAGGAACGTGGTGCAGCACTAGGACTAGCAGGATGGTTGCGATATTAGGAGCGTGGTGCAAACGACAATGTCGCGGAAGTTGGGCGTTGGCGGACATTACTACCGTATCCGCGAGGGTGCTTCTGTCTTGGCACTACCGAGCTTCACTTGCACCATCGCTTTCACCATCGCCTGCCGAATCCCTTAGCAGCGCTGACGACGCGTCCTCACTCGACTGGACCCAATTGCAGTAGCAACACGTGGCGCACACAATACCCTCTGAACACCGATAAATCTCCCAATTCACCATGGTTCACAAGGTTCTCCTCTGGAGCGGGCTCGGTACGTCTCCCACCACGCACGCCTGCCCACCCAGGCCACTACTGACGACATTGACCAGGCGTCGTGGCGCGATTATGGCAGCTGGGCATTGAAAGACGACCGCTCTTCAATAAGGAATCCGTCTGGGTCTACCCCGTTTTTGCTTCTATCGGTGGCAGCTTTGGCTACTGGCTCACCGGCGTCGAGCAGCGACAATTCCGACTATTAGCCGACCGTCGGGATGCCCTACTCGAAAAGCGAGCACGAAGGAAGGAGCGCGAGGCCGCCGCAGGCGACGAGTAGGGCACGACCTGGCACCAGGTCAGGATGAGCGAGAGTGAGGGGTAACCGGAAGACAAAGATTGGGCAGATCAAGGCATGCCCGGGGCGTCACCACAGTCGCAACTAATCTGCATATGTCGTACGGTGCATGTAGTGCTCATCATGAAGGAGACTTGGACATGGCATCTTGGTGGAATATGACGCGAATTGGAGGCAAGCCTCTGTCACGTCTAAGTTGGAGGCCTGTTCTTCTCAAATATTCAATACAAACTCAATTACATATACAATCACAATCTCAAAGATATCCTTCAAGGACCTCCATGACTTTGCTCCAAAACTGCGAGATATTGCCTAGTCGGGTAAAGCGTGGAATGCTGCTGACCTAAGGGTTAGTGCATGACTCCTGCCTACGCTATCTTGAGCCCATGGAGCGACCATATAATCAGGCCACTCTGTTCAATCCAACATGACCTGATATAGCGCTTTCAAGGCCGTCGTGGTCAAATCGTCGACCTTGGTTTGATACGCCTCACAAATCCCTCCATGTCTGATAACTTCCTAATGCCGCCAAATGGCGACAACTCAGTACCAGCCTCGCCCACAACCAACACCATCTTCAAGGCCAAAGGGATTGTCGTATTCTCCGGCGGCAGTGCAGCCAACAGCCTGGTCGATGTATTCAAGACTGTGCGGGAGGGCAAGAAGTGTCCGCTGAGCTACGTCATCCCTATCAGTGACAATGGCGGGAGCTCGTCTGAGCTCATCCGTGTCTTTGGCGGACCAGGTGCGTACCAGACAGCATGCTAAGGTGCAAACTTGCTAATGAGAAAAAGGTATTGGTGATGTGCGAAGTATGCCAACCAACCTGTGCGAAAGTACAGAGTATTCATTGATCCATTTCAGGTCGACTCGTTCGCCTCATTCCAGATGACCCAGATCACGACGACAGCGAAAAAGCGGCCATCAAAACTTTCTTTAACCACAGGCTACCCAAAGAGCGCGCTTCTGCTCGCGAAGAATGGCAGCAAATTATAGAAGCTGAACATGCGCTCTGGAGTAACATTTCTACAGCGAAGAAAGAGCTGGTGCGATCGATACTCAACGTCGTCGCATACGAGATAGTCAAGCGTCGCCGGCCCTCCTCCAGCTTTGACTTTTCGGGTGCTAGCATTGGCAACCTTTTTCTCACTGGGTAAGTGATACATTGCATGGCCACTGAAAATCCCGTGCACTGGCGTAATGAGTGTGTCTATTCACAACGCTGACATCCACAGCGCTCGACTCTTTACCGGCTCATTCGAATCGGCCATCTACCTTCTCTCCAGTGTTTGTTCAGTTCCCAGTCATACTTCAGTTCTCCCTGCAATCAATACCAATTTCACCCATCACATCTCTGTTGGTCTTGCCAATGGCGACGTCATCACCGGTCAAAACTCCATATCGCATCCATCCGTATCAACGGCTTTGGTATTCGCCGGTGCACCGACCGAGATTGATGAGACCGAACAGCACGATCGCATTGAAGATGCCAATCTACCAGGTTCTTTGCCTACACTTCGCAAGCAGTACATCACCTTCTCAAAGGCCGACGAGGAAGAGTTGCCTGCAAGGATCGAGAGGCTGTGGTACATCAATCCCTACGGCCAAGAGATTCGTCTATCCGCAAATCCAATGGTGTTAAATGCTCTCAAGGATGCACAGGCAGTGGTGTATAGCATCGGTTCATTATACACGTCGATAATCCCTTCGCTGGTACTAAAAGGCATTGGACAAGCCATCAGCAACCCCTTGATCCGCTATAAGATTCTCATTCTCAATTCCACAATCGACCGCGAAACAGGGCCGTCCTCCAATCCGTACTCCGCGCTAGACTTTGTCGCATCCATTGCGAAGGCGGGTGAGGACTCGAAGGGTATCTTTGGGCCTGTTGACATGAGCAAATACAAAGAATACGTGACACATGTCATTCATCTGCAGGGACCAGGCACGCCAGCCGTGAACCGTGAAGAGCTGAAGACTATTGGCATTGAGGCGATTAGATTGTATGGAAGGACAAACAAGGGAGAAAACTTTGTTCGGTACGACAAGCGGGGGTTGATTCAGGCGCTGGAGGTTACCATGGGTAAGAGAGACCCACGGGTACCCAGCCGACGTAACACTTTAGAGGGGCCGACGAGGTAGCAAACAACCGTGAGCTACAAATTGGGGGGAAGGCTCACATTCTTGGCCGTTCTTGGCTATATCCTTAACTTGAGATAGCTTCGCTACCATACTTAGCTGATGCAACACGGCGTATTTCCTTACATATTTGTCCGACCCCAAGACTATGCACCTAACGACCTTGCAGCAACGATCATCACGAAGACACTGAGTGAAATCCAGAGAAGCCAATGTAGATATCCTCCGCTCTGCACCAGATCCAACAGGCTATTCGAGGCGACCTTTAGGCAAGCTCTTGCCCTACCCCACGGAATCCGGCTGTGCAGCTCCAACCCCTGCAGAACCTGCTCGGAAAACAGTTTGGCGCTTGAAAGGACCATGGGAACGCCTCCACCTGGGTGGGTGTTTGAACCGACAAAGTATAAGCGCTCAATAGAGGCATGCTTAGTCTTCGGTCTGAAGCCAAGCAGGTTGAAGAGTGAATGGCTCAGGCCCAGAATAGCACCGCGGTCGACGTTCAACATGGTTTTCTAGGTCAGTGGTGTGTTGAAGCTTTCCTCGATTATATGAGGAATCAAGTCGATATCCAATCGTGCCTTGACAGTTTCGAGAATTGTGTCGCGCGTCGTCACTACAATATCGTCCCAATATTTTGTAGACTCATCCGTTTGCTTGAAGCCTCTGTAAGATTTTCTTGACGCGGCTTGCAAGTTACTGATAGGGAGACAGACTGACACAGCATCGCAGCCCTCGGGAGCTGCAGACGGATCTATGCGCGATGGCACATGCATGTAGAAACTAGTCTGCTCAGGCACCAGATATTTCTTGTCGAAATTATCTAAGCTTTCGTTGTAGTCTTTGACAATAAACATGTTGTGAGACCTAAGTTCAGGGAATTGCCGGTTTAGTCCCTAATAGAAGGATATACTAGAACAGGATGCTTTGCGTTGAAGCAGGGAGGTTGCGTATGAGGATTTTGGCAGGAGGTTGTTGTAAGCGTAGACCAAGTCGGCGTTGCAGACAACCACGCCTGCCATCAGTTGTGCTTTGCCATCTTCGAACACAACACCTGTTGCGGGCTTGCCGTCTTCTGACAACGAGATCTTGCGAATATAACTATTGAACATGTATTCAACGCCTAGGCGCTCGCTCACACCGACCAGACCCTCTATAATCTAGAAAAGTTAACATACAACTCTCTTTTCTTCGTTTAGTGACGTAGGAACCTTGTAATAACCGCAGATAGGGTACCAAACACCTTCCGTTAGATCCGTAATACTGCAACAAGCTGAAAGTTCCTGGGGACTCGTGTGGACTTATCCCCATGTACAAGTCCGCAAAGGTAAACGCCTTCCTCAAAGCATCTGTTGAAAAATACTTCGTCATTCTGCTCTACGAGCTTTGAAATGTATGCAGCTCAAAGATATGCGATAATAAACTAGGACGGAATATGCTCTACAGCGAATGGAAGTTCTTTTTGAAGATATGAATAGTCGAGGCTCTAAGGTGGCGATGGCTCTCTCGCAAGAAAGAGAGATAAAGTTTGAACCCGGCCGTGCTTTTAAACAGCTTAATCTCCTCCTTCATCACAGACAGGTCGGTCGATAACTTCAATGAGTTGTCATGGAGGTGGATATGATAGTTACAGTCGCACTTGACCAGCTCAACTTTCTCCGCACTGAGCGAGGTACCTAAGTCCTCGATCGTTTCATGGTCAAAGCGATTGAGCAAAACTATGCTTGCGCCCTAGTCAAATCTCTGTGTTTTGTATTAGCAAAAAGCGTTCCTCTAAAAGGTATTGGAGTTGGTTCCGTAAATATCCTTGGCGACGGATTAAATTACAATGTTCACCTGGAGAATCACCCTTCCCTACGATGGTCACTTTGCAGCCTGCAGCCGCCAAAATTGCGGCGATAGTGACACCGCCAGCACCTGCACCGATGACAATGACACTCGGAACCGTCGCACTTGCACTCCTGAAGTCTCCCATTTCCTTGCTTCTACCTCTCCTGGTAGATAAGCCAGTGGTCCCCAAGGTAACCAGCTGCTAATAAGATCAAATATGCGGTGAATGTATCAGAGAAAAGTGGATGTAATACCTAGGTATGTATCGCAATCGTATCGTGAAGTGATAATGAAATAGCGCACGAAGCCTTAACGTAACTCAACATGGGACTGTTCCAGGGTACACCTGCATTCGAGACAACACACGCATATATGCATACATTATCACATGTGCATCGTGTACGTGGAATACTTTTGCTTTTGTTCAATAATTGCTGGCAATGCGCGCATGCCCTGCGTGACACAAATGCCAAGGTTATCACAGTTTATCACACCATAACAACCATAACGACAAGAGGAACCAAAAATTGTATCGAGTGATTCTAATTGGGTTTATTACTATCTTATGCTCTCATACGTGTACCTTATTTCCTACTTCGCCGTAGCGTTCACAGCCTATAGCAAAAGGTTTACCCACTCCAGCACGTACCTTCTTCTTTGCATCTTGTTACTATGTGGCTATATTCTGTGAAAGTTGCTAAGCGCTCCCCGTCTCTGAGAATGTGGGTACCGTAACCGTAACATTACTTTCTTATGCGCACTTTGGGTCACGTGGCGGCCTTCAGCTGCTTCAAGCTTGGGCAGCGACGCACTTATCACTAGCGCAATACAATACACACCCGTCGCACGCGCTAGCTAGACTTGTTGAAAGACATACTGCAGGCTGTTTTGCTACGTTGCGTTGTGTAGGTTTACTTATTTTGAACATCCATGACTGTACGTAGGTATGATGTAACATGCTACGCAGGGCCGATACAAGGATCCAGATAATTCCCTTGGCGCGATTACTGACTGCAACTACACCCAACAATGTCTCTATTGTATCGGCAGCACGCATGGCCTATTCTTCAGGATCAAACACGATGAAACGAGCCATGCAGACCATGTCTTTTTCTATGCAAAAGCAAAACACTTACACCGCCATCTATCGACCGCTGCCTCGACCACTGTCTTTACGGGGTTGCAAAACCGTGAAAAAAGAGGTGTGAAGCAAGGGAATAGTGTGCTGTTCTCCGGGAGGGTGTCATGCTTTGTTCGTCAGGAGGGTGTAGTGCACTGTTCTTTCGGAGTCCCGTAGAGAGATGTAGGGCGAAAGGGACTCTATAAGTACCTTCGGATTCTTCTGCTACTATCACTAACGACTTTCATCCTTCTCTACTCACGACATCTCAAAAAACATGTCGAGCCAAGCACTAGACGATGCAACCTCTTACATCATTCCCCTCTCGACTTACGACACCCATGGCCTTTGCACCAACTACCCCCTGAGAAGACACAAGTGGGAAGCGGAAGCCAATGCAGGATCTCAGCAGGCAAGATCGGATTGGATCAAGTATATCGGGCCTATCGAGGAGTTTGGGACATGTAATCCCATCAACGGAAACTACCCAGCTGTTGCGCTACCGTTTACCAAGCCGGAGCGATTGAGTTTGATAGCTTACTTGATGGAATGTATGTAGCCTAGCTAGTCATTCGTTTTGTTACAGGACTGTGACAATAAGTTTTTTATCAGCTCACTGATTACATACCAGATTTATTCCTGTACGACACCGTCGTCGAGCATGAGCAACAAGAGTGGAACGACACGGATCCCGCGCTAGGAAGGGTCCAACTTCAGGCCAAGATCCTATTACAGCTCGCTTCAACCGACAGTGACTGCACCGAAAGAGTCAAAAGCAGACTGAAAGAAGCGCTCGCCATGACCTTGCGCGAGAAGGATACGCATTTTGACTCTCTGGAACAGTATCTAGAGTGTCGGATGGTTGATTGTGGAGCGCCGTGAGTATCTTCAACCAGGAACTACTATTAGAACAGATGCTAAAGTGTTGAATAGTTTGTTGGAGGCATTGTCACTCTTTGGTATGGGTGTGACACTTACTGAAGAAGAAGACGCCAAACTCGAACCCATCCGCAGACCATGCTTCATTGCGATAGGCCTGGCCAACGACTACCTCTCTTTCGACCGTGAATATCTCGAGTTTTCGGAGTCAGTAGAACCTAAAACCCTCAAGAACGCTGTTTGGCTGCACATGCAATGGTATCACGTGGACGTCAGTGCCGCGAAGAAGATGGTGCTGGACAAGACGCGACAACAGGAAGACGAGTTCCTAGAGAACTGTGCACGATTTCGGAGGGAGAATAATGACATGCCAGAGAAGCTGAACAGGCATCTAGAAGCGTTGGCATATCAGGTCAGCGGGAACGTGGTTTGGAGTTTGAACTGTCCCAGGTATTGTCCTGACTATAGATACGATCCAAATGCTGGTATCGAAGACGTGCTGACAAAGAAGTCGATGCCGGAGATGTTGGGAATCAATTATGATGCTCTGTTCGTACACAAAGCCGACGAGGATTCCGATAAACAAGTTGATACGGGGTCTGATTCCAACACTGGATACTCCCGGACGTCTTCTACCGATAGCTTTACAACCAATACGAGTACGGAACCGGAAACGCATCGCGACGCCTCTACTTCATCATGCACATCGGCTCAGTCTAGTATTGGAATTGAGAAGTCGATGGCTCATCATCTCCCAAAGGGCGAGCTTTTGGATTGCGAACATATCAAAGCACCCTTCGATTACATCAGCTCACTTCCCTCGAAAGGTGCACGAGATGTTTTCATTGATGCCCTGAACATCTGGCTCAACGTCCCCGCACCCGCCGTATCGCACATCAAGTCGATAAGCAATCGCCTTCACTCTGCCTCCTTGATGCTCGACGACATTGAGGACGGATCCAGCCTTCGAAGAGGCCAGCCGGCTACGCACACTGTCTTTGGTACTGCCCAGACGATCAACTCAGGATGCTGGGAGATTCTGAACGCAGTGCAAGAGACCCAGCAGCTGGGTCTAAAGGCTGTCAAGATCGTCCTCGAGGAGTTGAGTGAATTGCACATTGGGCAGTCGTACGACCTCTACTGGACGGAACACAGCCGTTGCCCGTCGGAAGATGAGTACTTGGAGATGGTGTCGAAGAAAACAGGGGGCTTGTTCCGACTCATTGTGCGACTACTTCTGGATAGTTCAGAGTCCAAAGCGCCAAAGGGCAACCTACATACCGATATGGGGCATCTCGCAGGCCTCATCGGGATACAGTACCAGATCCGCGACGACTATCAGAACCTGTATTGTCGAGATTACGGTGTGCAGAAGGGATTCTGTCAGGACCTGGACGAAGGGAAGTTTTCTTTTCCGTTGTTACACGCTTTGAGCGTGCAGCCAGGCAGTAAGAAGCTACTGTACGAGCTCATCCAGCGAAGAAGGGATGCAGGATGCCTATCCTACGAGCAAAAGTTGCTCGTACTGGAGCAGCTTGATTGCGCGGGCAGTATGACATATACCCGCGAGACGTTGAAGCGGTTACAAGGTGAGGTCCACAAGGACGTGAAGAAGATTGAGGATATGACAGGGAAGGAGAACTGGATATTGAGGGCTTTGTTGCAGAAGTTGAAGATACACAGTTAGAGTTAGAGTCCCTTTGTCGCAATGTTCAGTTTTGTCAGAATGCAGATCTTTCGTGAATCTATATTTGCGTTGAGAGAAGGAATATTTTGTTGGTTTCTTGAAAACAATTTGAGTAATAACTTCGAACTGGTGGCAGCGGTTCAATAAACATGGGCAACATCAGTCCGAGATTTGTACCTATCCTGAAATAATACTCTTCGCAGACGCTTTCGACTGTGCGCATATGTGAATGACGAAACAAGTTTCTTAAAGCTCCGTTTATTTGGTGTATACCTATTTCATGCTTTGGATGCTTATCACAGCAAGCGAGATGGAATATGAAGTATTTACCTGATTAGTATACCGATGTAGCCCATATACACCCATCTCTCGTCCTATGCCACTGCTTCTGATGCAGGTTCTTTGTTAGCTAAATGCGCTGTGAGTATAATAAAGACAATTAAACAAATCACTTCAACCCGCCCATGGGTTTTCTGAGCTTCTGTAGGTGGGAATGCGTTTGGGGTAAACTTTCCTTGGATTGGGGTCCTGTCATCGAGGACAACATCATGGTCAGTGGATGGTTGCTACAGGCTCTGGCGTTCTACACAAGATTTTGTGTGACATGAGATACAATAAGCCAGGTTCATTGCGATTCAAGGCTGACAGGGACCATATCTACAATTACGACATGCAATCCATATCCGAGGCTCTTGTGCGACAGTGGGAAGCAAATCCGTACACCCGTTTCCTATGAGAGCCGAATTGGATCTACCCGCCATGCGATTTTATGGGTTGGATTGGCCAGACAATCTGTGATCGTATCTTTGATACCGATCATACGAAGCGGTTGGAACCCAGGTTGGACAAGCTTGAGCTAAGGAGTTTGGCGAGGCAGATGGTTTTATTTACCCATGCGCTCAGAACTAAGTAATTCCACTATAATTAGTCTTTATAGTGCTCTAGACAATGTTTCTAACATACTGTATTATTAGAGCTTATTTAAGTACGTTATATATAGGATATAGGCTATCTTTTACTATAAAACTAGAACTTAAGAACCTTGAAGGGGTAGACAAAATTAATACTAGAATTTATTTACCTAGGTACTTTCTACGCTATATGCCGTTATAGCAAATGCCGCTACTAAGTCTAGTAATAAGAAGATTTGACAGAAGGCTATTAAGAAACTTAAAAACAGCTTCTACTCTATCGTAATCAAGAAGGGTGTAGTTCAAGTTAGTGAGAAAGAGACATTATTCTTTATAAACACGTCTACTATTAAAGCGTAGCTACTACAGAATGGATATTGGCGAAAGATTATCACTAAGGTCAGTTATGTAAAGATACCCGTGAGAGAAGATCTTTGTAATCAAGTGTCATTTTAGGGCCCCTCAAAGAACAAAAAGAAGGGTCCTATCCTATACAGCATTTCGTACCCCGGAGTGTTGGTAGCGAGAGCTAGGAGCACCATTATAAAAGACTTGAATCTCATGCTATATCCTTCAGGTGAGCCTGGCGACTTTAACGTCGGACTCAAAGACCTTCAGCCAGGACAGACATATGTCATTATGGCATACGGTGCTACCGTTGTTGCGGACGAAAGTGGGAATGCTCAGTTCAAAGCGCATTCAAATGGTCGCACAGTGATACCCATTAGGAAGCAGGCCAAACATTAGTCGCCGTTTGTTTATCCTACAGAAGGGTCCTTGATTTACCAGCAGAATGAACCTTAGCCTATAACTCACAGTCTTTCGATCGCACTCTCGCTCACAGCATAATTCAATACAGACAATAATGGACGACCAGGAAACGTTTCTAATTTAGCGACTTTCATTGAGTACCAATTTACAAGGCAAAGATTGCATAGTGACTATACGTCACTCGCTGCAGCTGTAGGATACTTTGTGCTGAGTTCTGTACGCAATTAGTCAAGGTCACTGGTCGGTTTTGGATCGGCATCATACTGACCCTGTTGTGTAACGAGATATGAATGGTCTTCCCACCACTTCCGACTCAACTTCCATCCAGAGAGTCGCGTGACTCCCAATCTATGTGCGAAATGATTCTCAGCAGGCTGTGGTTTTGGCGTATTTTGCATATTCGAGCCATGCATTCTTTTAGACATTTCGCGCACAATTTCGAACCAATATTGCGCTGTATAGTTGCAACCCATCTGGGAAATTATAGGGGACTCTCCTTCGAATTTTCGCCGGATCTCGTGTTGTGAAAGAGGCGGGAAGCCCTGCTTATGGCCTATGGTGTTATAGTAAGCATCCAGAGTGCTAAAGGACAGGTTGAGATGGGGAACTTCGAAGACAGTGTGAAACAAAATATCACGAACAGCTTGGTCGATGTTGAGAGTTCGGTCTTTTTTCGCGAGCATAATAAAACGATCCCGTAAATGAGGCCAGTTCAGCATGTCAATGACGGCGGAGTGAGTAGGATTCCGTTGTAGTGGAGTTGGTCGAAACGGCTCCGGTATCTGTGCGATATTGTCTTCAGTGGGTGCCAGGCGCCACTGTATAATGGCTTCTAGTGTAGAAATAGCACCCTAATATAACAATTGTCAATTAGTAAAATCAACTCAGGCGAGTATCGGTAAGACAATAAATCTACTTACTACTCCCTGAAGATAATCGCCGACTCCGCTGTACCTCACCGCAACACCTACGGCCACAGCAGCTAGATCATGTACCATCTTGCTGCTCGCAATGTTCATGCACCTAAGCTTCAGGTCTAACAATGTCGCTGGTTCATGTAGCTTGGTAGAATCGTGTTGGACATCTAACTCTTCGCACAAATAGATCATGCAGGCCTTCTCGAGTGCATCCATCATTCGTACGTACGATAGTCTCCCAAAAGAACCAATGAGTGAATTAGGAGCTGCGAAGGTTGGTGGGCTCGGACTGAGAGTCCTGAAAAATGACACATTTCGAGCTGGACCATCCGGAAAATCACAAGGGGTAGGCATCACGAAGTGATCCAGGAAATCGTAATCGATCTCCCGCGAGAATGCGCCGAAAGGATCTCCTACCCTGTTCTCCCTCTCTATATCATCGCCCTCTAGTAACGAATCATGGCCGGCGTAGTTTGATAAACCCAAATCATCTGGTAAAGGGTCAGTTTCAATGGAGCCGCTGAGGTCAATGACGGGTACCAAGGTAGGGCTGCATGAGGGGTATGTATCCAGATCAAGATCTTGGCCCGTCAATGAGGATGGATAAATCGATTGGAGCTTTTTTTGCATCCTGCAGCAGCACAGTCGTTGTCGACGTTCGCCCATGCCGCGGCTGGTCGGAATGGTTGATGGACTGACGGCGCTGGTTGCCTTTAGGCTCTAGGAGTTTTTCGAAGATAGGGTCATCTTGAGTAACATCAGTTACAAACTGGCCTCGCCATTTGTTCGCATGCGACGGAAAAAACCACATACTCGCTGCCGCCTCTGAACTGTTGCTAATGCTCAGAAGCTTCTTGCGCATACGAAGGAGCGCCTCGTTCAATTGGTCATTCTCTTGCATTAATTCTGCATAAGCATTTACAAGAACCTTATTGTTCTCATGACTGCCTGTTTGGGCTTTTTTGACCAGCTCTATAAAGTTGGCTATATTGCGATTCTGGGTCAGCTTCTTCTCGCGGGAGCACCGTTGCGAAATGCGGTTCTGGACGCGTTTGCGTTGGCTCTTCTCATCCTCATTGGTGATGTTGGCTGCGCTACTAGATCTCTTTTTGGGCATTACTGAGTTGAGTGTAGGTATGCCGCTTGAATGTTGATGGCTACATTGACGCGATGTAGTAGCAGACCAAAAGCGAGATAACTAGCACAGCCCGACTTCCGTGCGGGGTGCAACTTAGGCGATAGCGCTACATACTCTATTTTCGAGCCTTGCAGTTATGCAGCGAATACGAGACGACCATGGCTGTGAAACAAGGTGGGCGTAGAGACGGCCCTTCCACCTGCAGTGCCAAGTGCCAAACGTGCGGGGTGCTCTTTGCCTTGGTTCCGCCCGGCTATTCGCAGTTTCCGTTCCGGTTGTGAGATTATCTCAGCAAGCTTAGACTTACGTGAAGGTGACTAAGACGCAAGTATGTAGCTACGCTACTTGCATCGCGCCAGTCAGGGCAAGAGCCCTATGTACTAGCAGCCCGTGCCACCACTCTGGCAGTGCATTGAAAGGTGTAGTATAGCTGTCCCCTATCGAACGTCCGAGAAAGGCATCAGATCATGTTTTCAACAAGCTAGGAGTCAATACGTCTCTTTTCGCGTTTTTGCTGAAGGCACGAGAGCTTTGATCAAAAGTCACCCAAGGAGAGACGACTACCATAGCCCCGAATCTGCAGCCAGCATAGGCAAGAGCTAGAACACTCTTGTTAGGATAGCGGCGTATAATATATCAAAGAAGTGTCAAAGCAAGATTATCACCAGCAGAGTCGCTACCAATGACAATCTTCGACTCATGAGCAACGATGCTTCTCCAGGAAGATTGTGGGCAGCGAACATGTGCGCTTAATAGTCCTGTATCACCTTCTAGGTATTCATCATCATCAGGTGTTCGCAATTCATAGCAGAGTTTGGCAGATGTGGGCTTACCTGTTTTTAGAACAGCGACACTGACGGACAAATAACCAAGGATCGAAAGAGTTGGCCGTTGATGCATGTTTGCAATGATGAATATGGTGCAGAAATTAGTGCTAGTATTTCTTGTGAGGATTGTTACCGAAAAGTTTACTACTATAATGATACCTAGGTATGTTACAATCGCATGTAAAAGGTTACTCCCGCTGTAGTAGGCATAATGGCAGAACATCAATTACCTCTATGCCAATGGTATTATATTTTTTCCCATGCGCAAATTCAATTGCGGTGCGCAGGAAAAAGGTAAAGGTGTGTCAGAAAAGTCTGACTGGCGCCAGAGTGGGGTAAGATGGCGACCGCTAGCTATGCTAACACTTGACGATTCGAGGAGTTGTGTCGATGAGGTATCCTTGTGAAGCGTGTAATTCCCACAGATTTATCTTGGGGACGTTATCATGGAAGCCTTCTTTACAACCGAATAAGTCTCTACACACAACTTCACAGTAAGACATCAAGACCATAGCGTATAGTCGATATCATGGGATTGTTAGCAGCACTGGATCGTGAAACCGCTGCGGTTTTGAGGGCCATACAGAGTTGGGCTCAATCTTTGCACCGAAGCGCACACTGTCTGTAATAGTCATTGGAGGAGGTGCATCTGGCCTTTTGTTGGCGTACAAAATACAGCGACACTTCGGCAATTTCACGTTGGATGTATTTGAAAAAAACCCGGCCGTTTCTGGCACATGGTATGAGAATAGGTACCCAGGGTATGTTCATTTCTCTTCTTCATGTAGTGTTAGGGGAGCTTGCGCTGATTACAATGAACAGGTGCGCGTGCGACGTCCCAAGCCACAATTACACATGGAGTTTTGAACCGAAGACAGACTGGAGCGCAAACTATGCCACTTCGGAGGAAATTTATGACTACTTCAAGAGCTTCAGTGACAAGTATGGGTTAGAAAAATTTATCAAATTCCGTCACCAAGTCATTGGGGCGCGATGGGATGAACAAGAGGCCTTGTGGCATGTAACAGTCCAAGATCTTGCTACAGGCAACACCATTGAACGGACAGCGCAAATACTCATCAACGCTGGCGGCATCCTCAACTCTTGGCGCTTTCCACCAATCCCTGGAATCAATTCGTTCAAAGGACCGCTGGTCCACTCAGCTGCATGGCCCAAATTCGGTCTTGAGCTTACCGGGAAGACGGTGGGCTTGATAGGTAACGGCTCGTCTGGGATCCAAATCCTCCCTGCGATTAAAGATAGAGTTGGGAAACTTGTAACATTCATTCGTGAGGGAACCTGGGTCGCACCTCCGCTAGGCGGCGAGTACAAGGCATATTCGAAAGAAGACAAGGAAAATTTCGCCGCGGACAAGTAGGTCCACTTAGTTCTGCGCAGGGAGACAGAAGCCCAGTCCAACAGCATGTTTGGAATTTTTCATCAGGGATCGCAGCAGCAGAAGAGCCTCCAACAGTACATGAATGGTTTGATGAAGCAGAAGCTCGGTAACCCACAGCTGGAGAAGGTGCTGATTCCCAAATGGGCAGTTGGATGTCGCAGATTGACGCCGGGCACCAACTATCTTGAATCGCTCAATGACCCCAAGGTACAGACAGTGTATGGCGAGATCACCAATATCACGCCTACCGGCGTCATTTGCGACGATGGGAAGGGCGAATACCCTGTCGATGTGCTCATCTGCGCTACAGGGTTCGACACGACTTTCAAGCCGCGATTTTCAGTTGACGGCGCCAGGGGCGCCAAGCTTCAGGACATGTGGAAAGGTGCGTAGCGCTGCTGGAGAAGGTCTCGTTGAGAGGAGGTCTTGTTCCACATGTCGAATAATATCAGTGAAGATATTGACAACGCTACACAGATGAACCTCAAGCATATCTAGGCATCGCAGTCGACCATTGCCCAAACTATATGTTCACTCTAGGTCCCAATTGTCCTATTGGCAACGGCCCGGTACTCATCAGCATCGAGGCAGAAGTTGAATACATGATCAAAATACTTTCGAAATTCCAAAAAGAGAACATCAGCGCTTTCGAGGTGCGCAGCGACGCAGTGGAGGATTTCAACCAGTGGACGGCTACATGGATGAAAGACACCATCTGGGCTGAACCGTGTCGATCGTGGTACAAGGCCGGGTCAGCGTCGGGCAAGATCCTCGCTTTGTGGCCTGGATCCACTCTTCATTATCTCGAAGCGCTGCGTGAACCACGCTGGGAGGATTGGATCTTCACTCGCCCGAGCGGCAGCAATCGGTTTCAGTATCTTGGTAATGGTCACAGCACGGCTGAAGCAAATGGAGGCGATTTGGCGTATTATATCCGCAATCACGATGACTCATATATTGATCCGTCGTTGAAGAGGGTGCATTGCCCTTCCTTAGGATGACAGGAAGGCTGCTAGACCTGAAATTTATTTCCTATCTATCCTAGTGTCGAAATAGATGGTGCTCGGCAACAAAACTGCGTTGTGAAAATCTGCTGCTAAGCATCGACATCACTTACATATACCATCATAGATGGTGCTCGGCTCTAGAGATTAGATAATGGAAGATGAGACTGCTCACTGTGGTCGCTTACCCAATGTGGTCTGGAATGTGTGCATGTGATAAGAAGGTGAGGTAACCAGAGCTGGAGTTCACATTCCTTTTCCTTCTGTCATGAAGAAGGCATCCTCATGCGAAACTAGCTAAGCAAGATACTACGTGTGAGTTCCCCAGGTATAGAGCAAGTCAGTGCACAATGTCATATTTCCTGGCACGGTGGTGTGAGACTAGGGTTGGGCTAGACGTATAAACCCTTAGGAGCGGGGTCTGTCATGTGCATGTGTTCTCTCCACCCTCGACTTCCCTCTAGCTCGTTGGATAGCAATTGCGTGCATTGGCATGCTAGAATTGAACATTACATCAAATCCCCGTTCCACTCACTTGCCCTCCATCGGATTATGCGGCTTTAGCTGCGAGAAAATCCCCGTACTAAAACCCTGCATACCCACCCTCACCCAATCCGGCATCGCCCGCATCCAAACCGTCAGCCCAGCCCATGCAGGAATGAAAATGTTCTTCGCCCTGCCACCACACACGATATCCGCAATCTTCTTACCTAGCGTCTCAGGATTCAAAGACGCTATGCCAGGCCCGAGCTTAATGCCATTGAACATTTTCGTGTCGACGGGTCCAGGAGACACGCAAGATACGCGCACCGAGTCTGCCTTGTGGATGCGTCGTATTTCGCCGTGTAGGCCCTCGTATATGGCTATCGCGGCGGACTTTGTTGCTGAGTAGTCTGTCAAACCGGGTGAGCAGGTGTATCCTGTTTGTGAGGCTACGATTAAGAAATGGCCGTGGTTCTTGTTCACCATGCTGGGAATGAAGGTTTTTGCTGTCCAAAGAAGTGCGAGATTGTTTACGCCAAAGGTCCTGGAGACCGGTGTTAGTAGGCCAATCATGAGAGCATGGCATATGGACTAGGGCATCCCAGTCGCGATTGCCAACTTACAGGTCAATGTCCTCCTTGGATGCTGCGAGAATAGGTTTGCCCCTGCAGATGCCGGCATTGGCGATGGTGATGGTGGGCTCGCCAACATCCTTTCTAATGCGCGCTGCGATAGACTGTAACTCATCGAAGTTTGTCAGATCACATTTGTAGTAGTGCATCTTTGCGCCTATATTATACGTTGATCCTTCAGTATGCGTGTCGACAAAAGATTTGGAATAGGCCGGGTGTATGAAATGGCTAACCTTTAGTATACGTCAACGGGAGCACGTCGAGAACAATGACATTAATGCCCCTGGCTGCTAGTGACTTTACAATCTCAGCTCCAATACCACCAGAACCTCCAGTAACCACGACGATTTCTTTATTCCAATCGAACACCGCGGGTGCATTGTTGCTATTGAGAGCCCTGTCGTTTGCCCAACGATTTAAATACCAGCCGAGCACAATACTACCCAAGGCAAAACTTCCTTTGGAGAGTGACTGCATGGTTTTAAGGGCCACTACAGTATGTCTTGTGGTCGCTTCGAATGCAGGATGGGAAGTGATGATTGCGGTCAAGTTTTCCATGTTGGCGTTTTTGGTGTGATGAGCGGTCTATCGATAATGGCAAGGCGAAAAACATGTTCATATATGAGTTCAAGGGTTAGAAAATAGCTCACCAATAAGCTAGCGAACCTTCCTGACCAAAAAGACCCCGTGCGGAGCGCTATAGAAGCTTGAATTTTAGATCCTCTAGCCGTAGTCAGATTTTGGTGACAAGATTTCATGCTTTGGTTAGTCGATCCTTTCGTCGAAGGATGCGAGAGCTAATTTTCGCGCTCAAGTTCCTACATGTTTGTGTTTCAAGGTTTCTAGTGCAGGTATCAAGGAACGAAAGCTTTGTAGCGTCCCAGCCCACGACTCCAACATCTTCTCTTTGGCCGAACAGTCGCAAACACGATCATGGCAACATCAGCCATCTCTACGGTCCTCGGAAAGACGAGCGTCAAGAACTCACCTTCCGATTTTTCAACTACCTGCCGGGAGTTGAATGAAACATTTGCTTCGGGCAGAACGAAGTCGATCCAGTGGCGCAAATGGCAGCTGAAACAGCAATGGTGGATGATAGACGAGAACGAGAACGAGATCCTGGCCGCACTAACAAGTGATTTAGGTCGACACGAAATGGAATGTCGTAGCCCTGATATCCTTGGATTAAAGACGGACATACTCGAACACATTGAGAAGATCGAAGAGTGGGCGGTGACGAAGCCCATACACGATGCAGGCCTGCTTTTTGGGCGTCTGGGCAAGGCTCGCTTACTTATGGAGCCTCTGGGAGTCGTTCTGATCATCGGCGTTTGGAACTTTCCCTTTCTTCTAACTATTCAGCCGGTTTTGGCTGCTGTTGCTGCTGTTGCTGCAGGATGCTGTAGTCATCAAGCCTTCAGAGATGGCTAAGCTAATTTCATCCTACCTTGACCAGTCCACTATCCGGGTGGTGACGGGCGGACCTCAGGAGACTAGCAAGCTCTTGGAGAACAAGTTCAATCATATTTTCTTCACTGGGTCTGCAAAGATCGCTCGCTTCATCACAGCTGCAGCCGCCAAGCACCTCACTCCCACGACTCTTGAGCTGGGCGGCCAGTGCCCGGCTATCGTGACGAAAAGCGCCAACATTGAGCTTGCAGCGAAGCGCATCGCGGCCGTCAAGTTCCTCAACGCGGGTCAAATCTGCCTAGCAGTCAACCATGTCTTTGTTGACCCACGTGTTCACGATGAATTTCTAAGCAAACTCGAGCATTATATGCGCCAGTCCGCAGACACAGGCCATATGTGCCGCATCATCAATCGCCGAAACTACGGCCGTCTGCAAGACATGGTGAACAAATCTGAAGGCAAGGTGATTCATTGCGGGCTCGGACCAAAAGGCAAGAACAGCATGGGCCCCATCATCGTAGCCAACGTGTCTCTCATAGACTCTGTCATGAGCGATGAATTGTTTGGACCTATCTGCCCAGTGCTGAAGGACGCAGTCAGCGAGGCCATTACAGCCATCAACAGCCTTCCTCGGCCGCTGGCACTCTACATCTTCAGCTCGGACAATGCTGAGACGGAACGCATACAGTCGGGCACGATTTCTGGAGGTGTTACTCTCAATGACGCGACGATGCATGCCGGGGTGCCCAATGCGCCCTTTGGCGGCGTGGGGGACTCGGGTATGGGCTATTACCACGGCAAGTATGGTTTCCTTGGGTTCACGCATCAACGCACCGTTGTCGAGCCGCCTACATGGCTAGACTACGTGATGGGCTTTCGATACCCACCTTATGACATGGGGAACTTGAGTAAGCTTGCCGTGCCGAATAGATTGGGTTTCCGCAAGGGGGAGACGATGGAGGATCAGATCCTGGGCTCCTCGAGGAGCGTGCGAGTTCCGTGGCGGTCCTTGATGTTGGTCGGGGTGTTGGGGTCTTTTGTGTACTGGATTGACAGTCATTGAGAGAGATAATATGATGTCGACTATGGCGAGACGACGAACAAAAACACAAAGAGAGGATTTGAAACTGATTAGATTCGCTAACTATCTAGGCCACTCGGGTGGATAGGCACCGGGAAAGCAGCTGCCCACGTCGTAGCCCAGTCGGGTAACGTCAAAGGTGGCGGGCGAGGACAAGAAGGTCAGCGTCTCCAGCCGTCCGTCGGGGGCATGGAAGTCGCTCTCTATTGTATCAAAGTAAGCATGCTTGAACAGCTGGGCAGTGGTCTCGCGGGCGGAGCGCATGTACTTCCCGACGAGCGTGCCCATGTGGTCAAAGTGGCGCGGCGCAAAGTTGGGATGCAGCTGGCGCAGGCTCAGCTGAAGGGCGGGAGAGAGCTGGCCCAGACGCAGCAGCCGTTGATTGTACTGGTTCAGCGAGACGTCGACACGGTAGCTGCCGCCACGGGTCGCGCGCTTGTCGACGGCGGCGAGGATGCCAGCGAGGCCGATTTTGATAGTCGGAATTGGGCAGCGGCGGCACCACGGGCTCCGACAAGCCCATGAAGTCGCCCATGGCCCAGGCGACGCCCGTGACGCAGTCGGAGATCTGCTGCCAGCCCGCACGTGATGCCAGGGGCCCGTGCCATCCGTAGCAGTTCTCGCGCACCACGACGATGCCCCGACCACGGCGACGAGCCACAGCGCGGACATAGGCGTCGCCAAAGCCCAGCCGCTCCAGGGCGCCGGGGCGATAGCCGTCGAGGATCATGTCGGCGTCGTCCAACAGGCGTCGCAGTGTCGCGCGGCCGTGGGCTGTCTTGAGGTCCAGCGAGACGTCGAGCTTGCCCAGATTGCCGTCAATCAGCAGCGGGCCCATGTCTGGTTGTGTTGGGCAAGAGACGCGGATGACGGTGGCGCCAAAGAGGGCGGCCAGCTTCGCGATCGTGGGCGTCGCGATGACACGTGACAGGTCCAGCAACCGCAGGCCCTCAAGCGGGCGGCGTCTGCCTGTGTCTACGCTGGGATAGGGCACCGCGGGCAGCTCGTCCGTGTCAAATGTGTGCAGCGTGTAGAGACCGTCGTCGCGGATGGCCTTGGCCTGCGCACTCGCCGCATATTCATCTGCCCGCACACACACGCCGCCGGCCTGGCGCCAGTGCTCGTTGGCCTCGACGTCTAACCACTCGGCGTCGAAGCGTGCGACTTTGTGCGCATACGCCTCCATCATGTCCTCAGACGTCGTGAATGCGCTCTCACGTGCCATGCCCACCATGGCCAGCGACGCGTCGGGATTCATGCTGCCGTGTAGGTGGAAGAAGCGCCCATCCCTGGTGCGGTACATGTTGGTGCACAGCTGCCGGTACGGGTCGAACGTGCGGCCTAGGTCGTACTTGAGATATCGCCCCGCGAGCTTCGCGTCGCTGAGCGGCTTGTCGTCGACTGTAGCCAGCGCCGACGACATCAGGAACAAGCTCGCCATGTCCATGTTGATGCTCACCCCCTGCAACACGTCGAACCGCTCCTGCACAATCGCGTTGCCCATGGTTGCCACCAGCGCTCACAGCGCTGCGCTCGACTCGCTGAACTTCAGCGGCACCGGCAGGTAGGGCGTGTCCATGGTGCCAGCAGCATCGAACCGAGTCTTATCCGACAGCCCAACTACTTTGGCCGAGAGCTGTAGCCGTTCATCGGGAAGGAGCACTTGGCGAAAGATGCGCTGCGCTTCTTTGCGCAGCGAGTAGAGCTCGGCTTGGGCTTGTTGAGACTGATCGTGAGATGCCATCGTGTCTATTGCAATCATTTCGCCGCTTCGCTTTACATAGCCATGCACGTACTTATCCCAAGTCCTACTATGCACGTGCACGCGCTTCGTCATCGACAACGACTCCCAGACGCCGAGATACGTATGTCAGAAAAGCCTGACACACTGATACGTAAGACCTCAGCTGCGCACCGGAACCTCTGGAAAACAGCAACAACCATGAAAGCACCGCAATAACGAACCTTGCTTGCACGATCTACACTGCTTCCCACTGCTTCACTCATACTCAGCTTCAATCATGGTCCACGCTAAGCGGCCAGTCCTCGTCGCCAATGTCAGCGGTGCAACAGGCGACGGTCCACTAGCCCTCTATCGCGTCGTCAGGGAGGGACCGGTCGACGTTGTCACAGCAGACTACCTCGCTAAGGTGAATATTGGTATACAACCTCAAGTGTCATTCTACAACAATACTGACTCTGCAGCACAGCATGGCTAGCTCTAGAGATGAAACAAGACCCCACCAAAGGCTATGAGCCTAGCTTCCTGCGACAGCTTGACCATGACACTGCACACACAGTGGCTAAAAGGGGCATCAAGATTGTCCACGACGGCGGCGCCCTCAACCCCAAAGGCCTGGCACAGAAATGCGTGGAACTGCTTCAATCATACGGCATCAACCAGTTGAAAGTCGCCTATGTCGAGGGCGATGATGTCAAGGGCTTGCTCCAAACCATAGCTGCTCCTGGCTATGCTCCTCATCTCGATATCCCAGACCGCGACCTCTCACACATCACATAGCCCATCCTAAGTGCAAATGGCTATGTGGGTATGTCTGGAATTATTGCCGCCCTTGAGATTGGTGCAGATATCGTCATTTCTGGACGATGCTGTGACGCTAGTCCCGTCATGGGTGCGTACATGTCCCATTTTGCTGTTTCGACGTGCATTTCTGGCTGACGCATGTGGTTGTAGGCGCAGCGGCCTGGTGGCATGGGTGGAAAGAAGACGAATATGACAAGCTCGCCGGAGCCCTTGTAGCAGGCCGTACTTATACCTTCCGTCGGAATATCTTACGCCCCCATCTCCACATGACCGCAATCTAACCTCACTGTGACCCATACAGACTGCATTGAATGTGGCTGTTATGCTACGGGTGGCAACTTCTCTGGTTTCAAATCAACTTCCCAAAATTGGAACCAAGGATTCCTGGTAGCTGAAATTGCCGCTGATGGCACCTTCGACATTGCCATGCAGGATGGAGCGCGAGGCCTCGTGAGCAAGGACACCATCACCGCCCAGCTCGTATATGAGATCCAGGGCCCATTCTACCTCAACCCAGATGTGGTCGCAGACCTGCGCAAGGTTCGGGTTGTGCCCAATGGCAAGAACAGAGTCTCAGTATCTGGACTTACTGGTTCACCCCCTCCCCCCACGCTCAAACTGGCCATCTGCAGCCAAGGCGGCTACCAGACAGAGTTCTACCTTTTCGCGACCGGTTTGGACGTCAAAGATAAACTTGCGGGAGCTGCAGGATTGCCCTCGATGAAATGACCACGAATCGTTCAGACTACAGGGGTTCTCCGGGTTGGACCAATACGGGCACCCCTGGTGGTGAAATGCCTCTTCCTCAAGCCCTCGCCACCCTGCATGGTCCGGGGGTTCGCCCAAGCAGACAAGGCAAGAGGTACTCCGCCACTTCTCCCAAGGATATTGGCGGGTACGGTCTGGGGCGGGTACTGTGGGCAACATGCTTGCATGGACTTTTCGCATGGTAGTCCCTCGGCCGTACTGGCAGCCGCACCAAATGCATTGCAACCTAACTGACCGTGTAGTTGGTGCCTCGGCCTTTTGTAAGCTACGAGCTATTCCGCCTACCATATGCCGACATCAAACTTCGCGTTACAATGGGCGACCAAACAAAGGCAGTCGCGATTCCGCGTCAATCAAGCCCCTTCACAGGACAGATCAGCCATGAATCGAGCGAGGAGTACGTACCCAGTGCTTCCGGCAATACGACTCGCGCACCGTTGGGCGCTCGTGTTCATGCCAGGTCTGGTGACAAAGGCTCGAATGCCAACGTGGGCTTCTGGGTAGTCGACGACGATGAATACCAATGGCTTCGCGCTTTTCTCTCCATCGAAAGAATGAAGCAATTGCTTGGCGACGACTACTGCGAGCGCTATGCGCTCGAACGATTCGAGATCCCTGGTCTGAACTGCGTGCATTTCCTGGTCAAGGGCATGCTGGAAGGGGGTGTAAGCTCGTCGTATAAGCTTGACGACCTGGCAAAGAGTTTTGGCGAATTCTTGCGTAAGTGTGCCTTGTTGATCCAACGTGCAAATGTCGTTGACTAATATTCATGTGCCCAGGTGCAAGGGAAGTCGACATGCCAAATGAGTTTTTAGAACGAGGCAGAATCTAATACACTAGTGCGCTGTTAGAGAGTTATATGTCACGATGTTCCACAGCCACAGGGTTTAGCCACAGGTAGGCCAGCCACCGGGGACCTATCAGAGCACTGTCGGTCCACACTAGCTACGATTACGTGCCTTAGGAGTATATCATCCCTTACGGAGCCTTAATTAATCCTTAAGAATTCGTCTTAATACTGAAAAGGGCCGGCCCTGAGGGCAATTGCCAGAAAGAATTAGATGAATTCGTTAACCTAAGATCTATAGAAGGCTATCCGGCTATATAGTTTCTTCGGATAAATATCCAGCTTCCGGATATCTTTACTGGTAACTAATTTGTCGGGTGGGTCCTTCGTCCGGTATCGGCAGGTTCTAATGTTCTGGTCTCTAAGGCTTCTAGCCAAGTCTTATCTAACTAGGCCTAGCCTATTATATTACCCCCCCGCTGCCCCTCTATATTTTGTTCGAGCTCTCGGTCCCTCTATCACTATCCCCGCCACAACACGCGATCCTATACCTTACCGTAATTGTTGTTTCTCCGCCTGCGCCTTCTTCGCTTTGTTGTCGCTGCTTCTATTACGTAACTTTACTATAGCTAGCCCTCTAAACTTTGTTAAGAAGCGTAAGAACGCCTACATCGTTAACGACGATAATAATTTTAACTTCGCGTCTCTGCCGTCCTCTAAGCGATAGCAGCGGACGTCTATAGCGCTGCTTTCGTCTACTCCTATTATAAGTACAGCTTTACTTATCTTATCTTAGTATCCTTATTAACTGCTAAAAAAGCCTGCTTTTAAGCTGTCGTCGTTAAAGTCGGACGTATCTGCCGCTAAAGCTATCCTCTTAAGTAATAAGTATGGCGTTACTACTACTGTCAGATAATAGCACTGTTGAAGATGAGAGCGTACAGACGCTGGGTTAGACTAGCGCGACCCGGCATCTGAGAGAGCCAATCGGATCACAGGAAGGCTTGGCACCCCCCAGGTGTGCCCACAACCGTAGACAGAACCAACAAACAATCAACAATCAATATCATCACCATTATTACCTATTTCATCAGTATTCCAGATGAGAGTGAATATCTGACAACTACTAAGGAGCCTATAGATCCCCCGTTGCATGCCTATTACTATCTTAATAGGGTTAATTACGCTAGCTTAAGCCTAGAAGATAGGACTTACTATACCTATAAGGTAAATAAGGTCGCTTATATTACTATAAGTTCTATAATCTTTACTTCCTCTACCTCTACTAACTCCTAGAGTAGCTACTAGTCTTTATAAAGCGGGCGATTCTAATAGTCTACCTTTTAAAGGACTTTAAGGTCGCCTCTAAGCGCATAGTCGTTACTTTACTAGGCTCTACTACTTAGGTCTATCTCTACGCTTACCTTATGGCCCGCGTAAAGCTTCTAGCTAAGAAGCGCAGCTATAGTAGATATTAAGACTTCCCTAGTAGCGTTGACTTAGACAAGGCTAGTATAATAACAGCTATTATAAGTAATACTATCATAATAGTTAAGGCCTTAGGGACTCTTAACGAGCAGGTTAATAAGGCTGTTATCTAGATTAGGTGTCTTATAGGTTATTCCCTTATCTCCTTTAGTTACTCTTTTAAGCTAACTAGTATATAGAACTACGCTATCGTTTAGGCTTATATTACTATTATCGACGAGATCCGCGCGCTCTAGTACACTATTAAGAACTTCGCGGCTACTTAAGAAGTTCTAGTAGCTAATAAGGTACTTGTTGGAAGGTCTATAGCACTAGTGCTGAAAGGAAATAACGATAACTAGGAATGCATTCTGTTCGGTGATGGTGATTGATTGTCTACGAACATAGCTGCTACGAAGGTATACCTAAGCTCTGCGCAAGGTGGGCCGAAGTCGGGCCGAAGTGTCCAGCAGCCGACGTCTCTACCGATACTCACGATCCGACAGTACTTACATCTTCTTTTAATAGCACTAAGCAACGTGCGTAGGCTACTAAGTATTATAAGGAGGTCCTACGTAATCTAGGTTGTGCCGTTAATAAGGATAGTAAAACGGAGTAATTATCTATTAGCTCCCTACTTATCCTCTAGCGTTCTCTTAATAGTCTAGCTTATATTCTAGCGTCTTTAGGTAGTCTTGTAAAATACCCCTATAGCTCTTTATTACTTCTTTAATAACTTATTCCTTTCTAATATTTTATTTATTTTATAAGTGTCTTATAGTAATGTGTAGTATGCTCTATTATCTCCTAAGGGATAGTACTCTATTCCTTATAATCTCCTCTCTTTTTTTTAATTCTTCTTATTATCTCCTCTACTATTACTACCTCTTCCTTTACTCTTCTCTCTCTTCTTTACTACTTCCTTATAATCCCCTAGGGAATCTGCGCCTTTTTCCCTTCTTTATTTAGCTCTCCGCTAAGCACTTAAGCGTAGTTTATTAGGTTCGCCCCTCTAAAAGTTACTAAGTAGGTAGCCTTACTTATCTCTATAGGGTTTAGAGAACTTAAGCTAGCTATCTAGAGCCTAGGCATCTTCTATATATTCTTTTAGTTCCTAAGAGTAGACTATATACCTTTCCTACTCAACTAGGTACTAGATCTTTTTCCCTTAGCTATATCTTCTTTCTCTAATAATGTCTTCTACTATCTATCTCTCCTCTAGTCGTCTATCTACTAATTTAATAATAACAAAAGGTCTCTCTTTATCTAGGGCTTATCCTAGGAGGGGGTTACCTAGGTAGAGTTGTCGCGGAAATGGACTTGATGTTGGACGTCGGATGATCACGTGATCGGATCGCGTCTTTGAGACTCCGGATCCGTGCCAAGGGACTGACCCATCATGTACAAATACCGGACCAGCCGTCTGATCTTTCTGATCCTTAGAGCAATCAATGATCCCACTCTTGAACGAATCTGATCGGTGTCATCCCAACTATCATAAGAGTTAAATATAGTCTGCGTAGAAAACATCGTAAATACCTAATAGCGTGTTTAACAAGACTACGTAAGGGGAGATTACTTCTCGTACCTTAAATAAGGCACTCTTCTAGTCTAGCTTCTTACTTAGGCGCCTATTTAATAGGCTATAGCTATATTATAGCTATATCTTATCTCTTACTTTTCGGGCTAGAGACTCTTATTAGTAATAGTTAGCCTGCTATTCCTATTCTTACTAGGCCTCTACTATCCTCGCTTATACGTAGGCAAAGATATCCTTAAACTTCTTAACTATAGCTATAGTAGACGCGTCTAGTTAGTAGAGATAATATTCTAGTTATTTAGCTATATAGTTCGCTTCTTCTTAGATAGGGTCTACGTCGTACCTATACTATAGGAAGAAGAGGCTTACGCCTATAGAGGTTGCGTTCTATCCCTTAATTACTATCTAGGCTATTAGGTAAAGCTTAGCCTAGTCCTTCCAGTCCTAGTAGATATACGCTCTTAAGTAGGTTTCTATAGTACTATTTATCCTCTTTATAGATCTATTAGTCTAAGAGTAGTAGGCCGTTAAAACTATCTACTTAATCCCTAGCTAGTTATACATTATAACCTAGAGATTACTTGTTGATACGGCTAAGGTATCGGAATCACCTTCGTTGCAACGAGTTGAAATGATTGTGATTGTTCTTGTTTTTCTATGGAGGTGGAGGGAGGTCGGCAGTAAGGCAGCAGCTAGAGCTCGGACCACACGGCTTAGTCAGCCGTGTAATCCAAGCTCGTGCATGCAGCAACCCGCTGCCTTATCTACCGCAGGTTCGATTCCCAACATTACTCGTAAACTAGCTTCCGCAGTTAGACACTATTACGTCTAGGAACTAGTAGTACGCTATAACCTTATTAATATAGGATTAGGCTATAACGTGGATGGCAAGCGAGTGGGCCACCCCACCAACTTTTTGCATCTACCTAACTTCAATCAATTATGGCTCCACCAAAACAATCCCAAAACCCTTCTTATGAAGCTGATATACAGCTAGCTATCTCAGCTACTACCCAAAACTAGCTCCAGTCTAATAGAGACGCTGCGCGGACATTTGAAGTCGCCCGAATGACACTCACGCGCCGACGCGCTGGTATACCTGCACGACGCGATTGCTAGCCTAACTCAAGGAAGCTTACCCTGAGAGAAGAGGAGGTGATTATTAGCTATATACTTCACCTAGATCAGCGCGGGTTTGCGCCTACCTACGCAGCTGCACGCGATATGGCTGATAAGCTGCTAGCTGCGCGCGGCGCTGGCTAGGTTAGGCAGAAGTGGCCAGCCAACTTTGTTAAGCGTACAGACAGTCTTCGGACGTGTTTTAACCGAGCGTACGATAGGCAGAGAGCTATGTGTGAGGATGCGACATTAATAAAGAGGTGGTTTAAGCTTGTAGAAGAGATAAAGGCTGAGCAGGGTATCTGCGATGAGGACGTCTACAACTTTGATAAAGCTGGCTTTATAATGGGCAAGATTACAACGCAGCTGGTTATAACTGTCGAGACGCGGTAAGAGCCTTCACTAGTATTCACGGTGAATCAGGCTTCCCGTGCTCTGATTGGCCAGGCACTGATTAGTCAGCTGCTCCGTGCGCGCACCATAGATATTCTCACTCCTCCCGTAGCTCCAATACAACAAGTTCGCACACGTTTTCTCCACCTTCATCAATAACAGGATTAGAGAGAAGAGGCCGGCGGAAGAGTATTCAGCTAGGCGATCGCGAGTGGGTAACGCTGATTGCTGCCATCAGCGCTGGTGGCTAGTTAGTGCCACCGTTCCTCCTCTTCGCTAGTCAGTACCACCTATCAGCGTGGTATAAGGAGGATATCCTACGCGACTAGGCGATCGCAGTCAGCGATAATAGCTGGACGAATAATAAGCTTGGAGTTAAGTAGCTAAAGCACTTCAACGCTCACACGCAGGCTCGTACTATAGGCGCGCGTCGCCTGCTTATTATTGATGGCCATAGGAGCCACTAATCTCTAGAGTTCTAGGAGCTCTGTAAGGAGAATAATATCTATACGCTCTATATGCCTCCTCACTTATCTTACCTACTCTAGCCACTTGATGTTGGCTGCTTCTCGCTATTAAAGCGCGCGTATAGCCGTGAGGTGGAGAGCCTTATACGCAACCACATCAACTATATCACCAAGCTAGAGTTTCTGCCTGCGTTTAAGGCTGCGTTTGATCGAGCGTTCACGCCAGCTAATATCTACTTAGCCTTCTGCGGCGCAGGCCTTGTTCCTCTATAACTAGAGGCTGTTCTATCAAAGCTAGATGTACAGCTGCGTACACCTACTCCTCTAGCAGCTCTACCAGATGCTCCCTAGGTAGCTTAAACGCCGAGCAACGCGCGTGAGCTTAAGGCTCAGTTAAGCCTTATACGTAAGCGCGTGCGCTAGCATAAGAGCTTATCACCAGCTTCGATTATTAAGGCGATTAACTAGCTGAAGAAGGGCGCTAAGGTGATGATGCTGTCTGCTGAGCTAATGCGCGATTAGATCTCTAGTCTTAAGAAGGCTAACAGCGCAGCCTCAGCGCGTAGGCAGCGCTCTAAAAGGCGTATACAGAAGCATGGAGTACTCACAAAGGGAGCTAGAGAGGATATACTAGCTCAAAATGAGGCTGACCAGCAGATTGCTCATAAAGAGCGTTAAGGAGGAGCGCGATTAGGCCTTAGCCAGCGCGCTCAAAGGCGCTGCACCAGGTGCAAGGAGACTGGGCACAACTCGCGCACATGCAACACTAATACTCTTAATATAGAGTAATCTACTGTATCAATATCTAGCAATAATATTATCGCGTTGTTGAGATAAGTCGCTTTGAAATTACAAAAGTTGGTGGGGTGGCCCACTCGCTTGCCTGGCCCACTCGCTTGCCATCCACGTTAGTATAAGTAGTAATATTAGTAAAGGGAATTAAGATAAGGTCCTTACTTAGCCTATCTAT